GTCTTCAATTATTTGTTTCTTATTAAAATTTTCATTAAATTAATTTTTTGATATAATTTTATTTTTTAATAAATTTAGTTTTTTAATATATGAATTTTAGAATAAAATTTTAGAATGTCGATGTTTTATTTTTAAAAAATATATTATTATAATTTAATAATATGATATTTTTTAAGATTTTAGCTTGAACACATATATCTTATTATATTACTCTTATTGTTTCAAGCTTATTTCTTCAATTATTTGTTTCTTATTAAAATTCTCATCAAATTAATTTTTTGATATAATTTTATTTGTTAATAAATTTGGTTTTTTAATATATAAATTTTGGAATAAAATTATAGAACATCGGTGTTTTATTTTTTAAAAATATATTATTATAATTTATACAATAAATTATTTTTATGTTTTTTAAATGATTTTTTTATTTTTTAAAATATATTATTATAATTTATAAATTATGATTACACACACACACACACACACACATAGAGAAAGAGAGAGCTAAAAGTATATTTTAGATAGTTTAATTCAATTTTTTTTTAAATTAATAATCGGTTAAAAAAATTCACAAGATTTATTTATATATATATATATATATATATATTTATTCAGAATTTATCGAACCAATTTTGTTGTAGTTTTTATTTTAATCTATTAACTTCAATATATTTCATACAATTTAGGTAGATTTTTTTTTGTATATTTTTCTATCTATTCTCTATACTCTATATATATATATATTAGTTTTGTTAAAAATTAACTATATATCGGTACACATAATACTAATTATTTGTTATTTATTTTTTCATATTCTAAAATTTGTTTTTTTTTTAAATAAAATAAGTTAGATAATGTTTTGAAAGAACCTCTCAATTATTCAAATATAAATTTTTTATGTTAATAGTATTAAATATTTTGTTAATAATATATATAAATCAAATGATTTCGTTCAATATAGATTCGATTTACATTAATCACTAAAAATAAAACTTTTATTCGCACCGTATCATACGAATCATCAACCCTATATATATAAAGATTCTTAGACCGTAACATAATATGAGTATCTAACTAATACTAAGTACATAAATTGTAATGATAACAAACTGTCAACAACTTCTACTCTGCCTTATTTTATAATACAACTAGTGTATCTTCTGCGCCATCTGCCTAGGCACTTTCTATCAAAGATTGCAGGTACTTCTTCCCCTTTTGATTGCATTTACTTTTTCCCTTAGTTCTTCTCCCCTTTTATTTTTATTCTCAAGGCAGTTTCTGCTTATAACATTTTCTCCTCCTTTACAAATTTCAGACCCAACTCTTTATCATTCAAACAATATAGAAAGGATAAATGAAAAATATGTTGAGAGCGGTCAGCAGTCACACTATTGCTGAAAAAAAAAAAAAAAAAAAAAAAAACGAAAAAAGAAAGAGAGGTCCATGTTCCATTATTGTAATTGAAGTACATCCTACAATTGATTAGAGCAATTTGTGACCATTTGACCTGGTTATTCATGCTAAAAAAAATTGGCCTTATAGTTATTTGCTAGCTAGGGATATTATGATTTCCCAGAAAGCCTCTTGCACAATGCATAAACTAATATAACAAATTATGTTTACGAACACAAATTTCTCAAAAGGAAACAAGCTTGCAGACAGATAATCATGTGTTTTTTCAGATTTTGAAAATCCAACTATATGTTATAATAGGAACCAACTGGCATTAGAAAAGGTGGATTTGACTAGATGTTGATTGTTCATTTAGCATTTGGATTTTTATATTCTACCTTCAGTCAGTATGGATCAAGTCAATTTATATCCTTCCATCTACCCAAATGCGAAGTAAAAAAGGAATGTTGGAATAGAAAGATAAACCACAGTAATCTATTTAATCTGACAAGTCTGGAAAATTATTGGCTACAGAACTGGAACAGTTCAAGATTTTAATAAAATTGTTGGCATTATAACCCAACATCTACTTGCCAACTATCAATTTTGCTCTTGCGTGGCCCTTCTTAATCTGGAACTGGTCCGCTAGGCCAAAATGAGCCATCAATAGCCAAACAGAAGTAATAAGCTCTCCCCCTTTACTTACTTGCTGGGCATGGGCATTTGCTCTGCAGTGACCTGCAGCATATGACAGTAATTCCACCCACACTTTGCTCAGTAACTCCCATCTCTTCTCCTCCCGTTTTAGAAGCTTGGCCAGCCTACTTGCGTCAAACAACACAGATTTGCTTCTATCCCCTTTCACATCGACAGGCTTTACCTCTGTGTTCACATCAAGAATGTTTTCACACGCTCCCCGTTCTTTATTGGAACCCAATTCCCTTCTTTTGAAGAACCTTTCAGCTTCAGCGCAGGTATCTCGAAATCTTATTTTACCAATACCAGCCACAGCTGCCATCATGGCTGGCTGCATAATTAGAAGATACATCATGTAATCTGAAAGGAGCTTGCTGAGTTCTTTTTCATCGTATTTCTGATCTGCATCATCATAGGAATTGCACATGCAATCTAAAAGAATCTTGCAGCAACTTTTATCGTCAGATCCCTGATCAGCATTGCCATCAGTGTAGTAGAGGAGCTCAGTTGCAATGTGCCATAGAAGAAGACTCTCATCGTAAGTAACATTGACAACGTAAGGCATTAATTCCTCCTTGAGATTTTTATCCCAATCATTGTCCTGGAGAGCCAAATTACCCCTAGCCGAACATATTGTCTTGGCATCTTCTGGATCATCAGCGAAATCTGATTTCTTTTGCAGCTCATCAAAGATAACTTTCCAAAGTTCACCAGTGAATCGCTTGTTGGACACTTGAAATATCCCATTAACAAAATCCTTGAGACCCACAAAATAAAGAACTTGGTCCATGCCCATGCCTATCTTGCTTTTAGGTCTGTTGACACAGTATCTTATCAAATTATAGCCTTTGACAGACTCAGACCAACTGCGAAAACCAAAGTGTTTAAAGATGGCACGTTTGACGTTAAAAAGAGGCACTTTCCAAGCAGAGAAAACAGCCATACAAGATTTCCAGCAAGAATCGGACTGTTTCCCAGACTTCTGGAGATCAGCCACCGTCCAGTCAGAGAAAATGGCCCTGATGAAGGCTATGGTATCGAGCCCGATGGAACCAAACAACAACATATATGTAAATTTAACATCAAGCGGGTGAAATTTATGCTTCTGGACATTGAAACGAAATAATGCAAGGGCTACCAAGACTAAAACGAAGGACAAAAGGCGGAAAACATATCCATATATGGAGTGCACAACAACAGCCTTTGTAAAGAGAACTTCATAGATGAAATTGAGCTCTACCTCTATTACTTTCAAAGCATCTTCTGCATCAATGCTGTGGAAGAACTTTCGACTCTCATTCCGATCCTTGAAGCTGAAAATGAGATCAACAATCAGTCCTTTGAAAATGTTGAAGTAGTAATAAGCTTTTTGAACAACCTCAAGATCATCTTTCAGTTTCTCGATTGGTGTATCGCGAGCAGTTGCCTGCATTTGTTTATCAGGCTCCTCTATTATTATTATTTCTGTTGGAATTTTGGCCTCAATCTTTGAATCATATTCCTCCATGAGCTTGGCATAGTTGGATCCTGGGTCTGGATCGTCGAGCATAGAGTCACGAAACTGATCCATGCTGGCACGGTATAAAGAATATGTCCGCTCGAAATATTTGATGACACCAGCCAAAAACAGGAGGACTGTTGGGATCCATACCTTGTTCTCTTTAAGTGTAAGGATGAAGACATAAACGGTAGCAAAGCCCTGCGTTGCGAATGTAAGCAAGTGCCTAAGCCAGAGCTCGTTATCCTCGAGAGCAAAAGCAGTGATGGTGTCTGGGCCACCAAGGTGCACCAAAAGAAATGGAGCCCAAAACGCCAAGAGATCACTGTTGTCTGGATACTTGGCGTCAGTGGTGCCTTGGCTGGTGGAGATGTGCCCTATGGCAAAGTTTGCCACTGTATCTGCCAGTAAGTAACCCGACCATATCAAGAAAATAACGAATTTGTGGGCAGTGCGTTTCCTCCACGAAGCACACAATATGAGGAAGACCTGCAATGAAAGGCTAGCAAGAATAGCGGATCTGATATTCCAATGATCCCATAGCCTCTTGACACTAGCTGGTATGGGATCTCTCATGTTAGTTTAACTTGCTTTCTTCCCTCTTTGTCTTGGTGGTTCTAGCATGAATAAGCATAAGTTGGGATTGAGCAATTGTATTTACAGCATAGTCAAGTCAACTCTTGGTCATTCTCTATCCAAGCGCAGTTAGGTACTGCAAATAATGCAATATGTAGTGGGAGTTTCATCATGTAATGGGAACAATCTTCTTTTTCAATATTTTTTTAGTCAAAAGCAAGCCAGAAAGAAAGAAACAAAAGATTCTGCAAATGGGAACTTTTATAATTCAAGTAGGGACCAACTTGCAATAAATAGTATCAAAAAGAGAAAAATATATATTGCTGTTATTGGTGTTAACGAATGAATTATATATATAAATCTATTATTTTTAAATTAAATCAATATTAGAATATACTTAATTTTTAATCAAATGTCGAACTGTTTTTTTAAAATAAATCAGGCCAAATTTTATAGAATTAAATAATCATTATAATTAATTATTTATAAATAATAAAATTTAAATTTTAAATTATTATTTCTTACCGCTGCCCTAGATTCTTTGTTCGTGTACTGTAAGGCAGCCATGAAAAAGATTCAACACTATCCATATAATTTATTTAAAATTTATTATAAATTAAAAAAAATAGACAAAGGACCCACACCAACTATCATCAAATAACAATCACTGGTTAATATTATTCACACAATTCGTTCGACATGGGTATTTCAGTAGCTATATTTCAGATGAGACCAACAACATTGCTTTATATATAGATATTAACGCCAGAACAAAAAACTTTTGAAGAAAATAAATATTTACATATGCAAATAGAAGCAATCTCAATTACTTAGAAAGATGCACGCAATTTCGTGTCCGCGTTTTCAATTGCTTAAAAAATGGAGTGAGAATAAACAGTACCTGAGAGCTGTTAGTTTTTATGGCGGCAGCGGTAGAATCAAGGCGGTGGTGGCCGCCATGGAGAAGGAGGACGACGAGGAAGAAGATGATGCCGCATACGCCATAATGACTTGTAATCTAGATTCTGAGAACTCATCAATGTCTAAGCGATGCTACACACCATGGCTGATCGCGGCTTCCAGAAATTCTTGGCTTCTCACTCCTACTCTGAATCAACTGTAGAGATAGCCATCAGGGGTCCCTAATTTTTCTACCAAAAATATAGGGTAAAGTACATTTTACCCCCTATAGATGCTGCAATATTTTAATTCGTCCCCCGTTATCTTAATATTTTATTTTTAGATACAAAGGAGAATAAAGAGAAAACTATGATAGAATAAAAATATAACTCGCAATGTTGGTAAAGAAGGGAGTACATTAATTACTTCCTCTAATATATCAATATATTAATTTAAACAAATCTGAAATAATTTATAAAGCTAAATTTTAATACTATTAATAAAATAATAATGGTCCAATAACAATAGAAAAAAATTACTCCGATGCCCGATTGCGCGAACCATTTCAAGAAAATTAATTTTATTTAAAAACAAACTTTTTATAACTCAAATCCCATAGTAAATGATCATTAATTATATCAATAATTAGTTGTTATATCCATATAATGAGAAATTACTAAACATGAAAAAAGCATAGTTTACACAGAGAAATCCAGCAATTACTAAACATGAAAAAGAGTGAACTACGCTGTCGTTTAGCATTTTAGTAAGAAGGCTGGCCGCTGCTTGAAGAAAACGAATAACAGACCAACGCCATTTCTCTCCCTCTTTCTGAAGATTGAACAACAGAACCAGCATGAACGACAATCAAAAATCACTAATCCTCAACTCCTCTTCTCAGTACCCACTTCCTCAAGGTACCCATCTTCACTTTCTCCATCGTTAACTCCTTTTTCCTCAAAATTTTTATTTCTTCAGTTTTTTTTTTCAGGAGTGAAGCTATCATATGGTACATCAGGGTTCAGAGCAGATGCATCAATCCTGGAATCAACTGCGTTCAGGGTTGGGATATTGTCAGCTCTTCGATCTTTGAAAACCCAATCACTCATCGGCTTAATGATCACTGCTTCTCATAATGAGGTCAGTGACAACGGTGTCAAGATCGCGGACCCGAGTGGTGGCTTGCTCAGTCAGGAATGGGAGCCCTTCGCCGATGCTATCGCCAATGCCCCCACTCCACAACACCTCATTCAGGTCAATTATTCTATCTGGGTTTGTTTTTCTCCTTAATTTATTTTTTTTACAACGTGGATTATTTTTTCTTCCTTGTGCTTAAGTTTCGATTTGGCTAATGGGTTACGACCCCGTTACTTGTTTAATAGTTTTTCGGTTTTGTTTCTAAAATAAATTAATGGAAGGACTTCATTGGTGATTTTTTTTGGGGGGTGGGGGGGACGTAATGGAATTTGTTGGAAAGGGGAGTTTGATGGTTATGCAATGTCTGTGTATCTGCCATCATGCATCAAGTTTTGTTAGATTGTTTAAATTGGAGACAAGTATTGAACTTAACAGGATTCGTTTTTTTTTTCCCTTGCTGAACAGTTAATCGATGAATTTGTAAAAAAGGAAAACATCGAGTTTGATGGAGTCCGCTCTGCGGAGATATTGTTGGGAAGAGACACGAGGCCTAGTGGTGAATCACTTCTTGAAGCTGCTAAACAGGTATCCCCTCCCTTCAATTTTCATGCTCCCCTGTTTTGAAGGTGGAAAATGTATAATCTTAGACCCTTTTTTTTTTTTTAATTATTCATATCTATAAAAAATCATTTCTTCTCTTGCTTGTGCTTTATGTTTAAATGAAGGGAGTTTGTTCAATTGTTGGAGCTACTGCCTCTGATATGGGAATTTTAACTACTCCCCAATTACATTGGATGGTTCGTGCTAGAAATAAGGACTCGAAAGCAACTGAACTTGATTACTTTGAACAGCTTTCAAGCTCATTCAGGTTTGTTACAGACAGTGTGTTTCACATCAACAATAAAGTGATTGCTTTCAAATTTATGCAACTCCAAATACAAAAAACTTGTCTACACTTAAGATCTTTATGTGATTTATTAGGTGCTTGATTGATTTGATTCCGAATGAAATCAAAATCAACAAGACAGATGACAAGTTAGTTGTGGATGGAGCTAATGGTGTGGGTGGAGAAAAACTTCCAGTGCTAAAGAAGAAGTTGAACAGTCTGGATATTGAGGTTCGTAATTCTGGAAAAGAAGGAGGTGTACTCAATGAAGGAGTTGGTGCTGATTATGTGCAGAAAGAAAAGGTTGTTCCACGAGGATTTGATTCGCAAGATGTCGGAATTAGGTCGGCCATCTCCTCATATCTTGCAGTAGATTTATTCTTTCTAGGTAGTCAACCTTGCAGCAAAAGCCTTAATTTTGCTAAAGTTGCACTAGTTACCTGCATGTGCACTTCATAGTAGTCTGTTTAATATGGAGTTAAAGTATTACATAATTTGGAAATAGCTTCCATGTTTGTTACCATAGATTCATAGCAAAATATTTGGGGTTTCTCAATTACTAAAGCTGCATAGGTTTGTTGGAACTTGAATGGTTAAATCAGAACAAATGATGCTTTTTTATGCTTTTCTTTTGACAGAATGATAGATGCTTGTAACTTTATTATTAGCAGCAGATTTATTCTTTCCTCTTGGGATATCAATCTAAGTGAAATTGGATATTTATTTTGTGTGCTGAAATTGATATACCATATGTTTAGTTTGATGCTAAATTGTAGTAGGGGAAGCTAATTGCATGATGTCTCTAGTATTTCAGGTGTGCAAGTTTGGATGGAGATGCTGATCGGCTTGTTTATTTTTCTGTGCAATCAAATAATACCAGCAAGATAGATCTCGTTGATGGGGACAAGATACTATCTTTGTTTGCTGTGTTTATCAAGGAGCAACTGAGTATTCTTGACATGGAAGGGGATGATAAGGTAGATGAAAATTATGAAGCTTGTCTAGGTGTTGTACAGACAGCTTATGCAAATGGAGCATCCACAGATTACCTCAAAAAATTAGGCCTGGAAGTTGTGTTTACTCCTACAGGAGTGAAATACTTGCATGAGAAAGCTGCTGAGTATGATATTGGGATCTATTTTGAGGCCAATGGCCATGGCACCATCCTGTTCTCAGAAGGCTTCTTATCTCGGTTAGAGGCCAGAAATAATGAGCTATCTTCCAAATCTAAAGGTTATTTCTGATATGGTCTTCTATCAGTAGTGTTGAATGTCATTCTAAATATTATGAAGCATTTGGTTCTTTCAGGTTCAGAACAGCAAAAGGCTGCTTTGCGACTATTGGCTGTTAGTAAATTGATCAACCAAGCCGTTGGAGATGCTTTAAGTGATATGCTCTTGGTAGAAGCCATTTTACAACACAAGGGATGGTCTATACATGACTGGAGTGAGCTTTATCAGGATCTACCTAGCAAGCAGCTTAAGGTTTACTTTCTTGATTACTTATCATGAAGAAGCCCATTTTATGAGTTTGGTTTTCTTGTCTCATGTTTGAGTCTGGGTGTATACTAATCCTCTTCCCCCCCCCCCCCCACCCCCCACCATGGTGCACGTTTCTGCAATTTTGAAGCTCTAAAGGAGGCACCTTGTCAAATAGGCTAAGAAAATTACTAGCTTCTATTTGTAACCATTACACAACATATGTTGTCCTGTTTCCTTCCAATTCAGAAATTAATGCTTTTACTGCTTTGGATTATTGACAGGTTAAAGTTGTGGACAGAACTGCCGTTGTTACATCAAATGCTGAAACTGTGGTTGTGAGACCCCCTGGCATTCAAGAAGCCATCAACAATGAAGTTGGTAATCACATTTTTGACACCTGATTTTATGGAACTGCACATGATGCTTTTAGATTTGCTTCAGTTGTGTGCTTAGCTTTAATCAGAAAACAAACAGAAAACCAGAGAAGCACATAACTTCTAGTTAATTAACGTTATGCATGTAAATATACAAATAATCCATATGGACAATTAATGGGATGGGATGGGATGGGATGGGCATGTGTATTTGCAGACGATGAGGATTTCTCAAGCTATAAATTACTATTCCCTGCATATGGCTAACTATGTGGACTTTAATTTTTTGTTCAGCAAAATACCCTCAAGGGCGATCATTCATCCGGCCATCTGGAACAGAGGATGTCATACGTGTTTATGCAGAGGCATCAACCCAAGGAGCAGCAGACGATCTTGCCAACTCTGTAGCAAAACTTGCAGATCAGTTCCTAGGATTTGGCAACTCCGGATAGGGAGTTGGTCTCTGCTCTTTTAACTCTTTTATTTAACCAAAATGATGACATTGTCACACACAGGATTCTCATTTCACCAACTTTAGTTACACAGTTCATATTGATTATCACATTTATGGAATGGAAAAATTGTAGCATTTTCACGTGACTCGTCTCCCTTGTTTCTGTGGTTATTCTCAAAATCTTTTGTCAAGCAGTGAAGGACAACGGTTATATATATATATATTTTGAGGGTAGAGGATCAAACTCGCAACCCTTGGACGCAACTGTCTTGGGCCATTTGGCCACAAGGAGAACCTTCAGCTTAATGCTTCCTAAAACTCCCACAATAATTAGCAACATTTCAGCTTCATGAACTTCAATCTTGAAACCAATCTGGCAGCTGTTTGCAGTTTATCCTTCAGGAGCACCATGGATAGCCAAAAATTGATGAATGTTGAATGTCCAGAGAACCTTGAGCATGGCCTCTACATCGCATTTTTCTAATACGTTTCCTTGAAAAAAATTCCAAATGATGGATTTATTGTACGGAGACTGTCGTAGGCCACATCTGGCTTTTATCACTTTCGAGTAATATTTTGTAAGACATGCGGGCTGCTAAATGGTAGGTCTGAGCGATATGGTGGTATTTAATTGCTGGAGTACAAGACATAACCCAACCCTCACAAACATGGTCTGTTTATATCCTACTGATGGACTCATCTACCCAAGTCAAACGTTTATGATTTCTTCCAAAAGACAATTTAGAGCTAAGTGTAAAGTACATCCCAGCTTCTAGCCAAAACTGCATAAATTTGAATGACATTTTAGTTACAGAACATATCACCAACTATAATATTGCCTTTTGGTGTACATTTGGGCAGAATCAAGCTCTTCAAAATTTAGTCCAAAGAAAGCTCAAGCGTATACCTGAAATATAATCCACCAGCAAACCAACCGCAGCAAAAATAGTTGCAGGGTAAAAAATTACATGTAAAAACAATTTACAGCACTTTGGTAACACCAGTGGAAGCAACCCACAATGACAAACTTTCTAATGCAACCCTCTTATCCCTAACCCACAAAAATGCACAACGTTTGATGGCATCTTCAAAAATTGGGACGTTTACAAGTTCCATTTCAGCTGAAGAAAAACCATGGATCAAAAATGAATCTTTCTAATGCAAATCAAGGCAGAAATACGTATACTCAGATGACTTCAACTGGTGTTAGATCTGATTCTAAAATTTGCACTTTGTATTGTGTAGCTTGTAGAATTTGAATATGTTCCTACATATGGATGACTCCGACCTTAAGCATTTCTCTCCCTTCTTTCCTAACTTCACAGGAATTAATAATGAAATTGAAGGATAAAACACCTCCTGGTTTAACGATAATGAATGAAATATGCCACAGCCACCCTTTCAATGCACTAACTTTTCATTACTTCTGAATGCTACGGAGTATATAAAGTTGCAATTAACACCAAGCACGAATAGCTCCTGGTTTAACCATGCTTATCCTTTCCATATTGAACGGGTTAACCTTGTTCACCAACACTAAGCAATCCTGCAGGATGCAGCTAAAACCAGATAGTGTGGCCTACTACATTCCTTGCACCACACAGTATATAAGCATATGAGTTACCAAATGACCATCTCTTCACATGAAGCACGAATAGCTGAAACTCTTACCCCATGGTAGAAATTGTAAACTGCAATAATGCTTCGTAATGCATTTTTTCAAACTTGTCTTCCCCTTTAAATGTCATATAAATATCACACATCAAATCTTATGCTCTTACTACGTGTACAAAATACCGTTCTCCCTAAACAAGTAAATATAGCCCTTTTCTGATATAAAAAATAACACTATCAAACACACATCTAATTGACAAACATCTCTTACTATGACACTAACAGGTCAAAAATAAGAAATTCCAAGAGGTTGCATCTTCTACATTGTTAGGCCAACAAGTCAAAGACAGGAAGTGCTGAAAGTGTCAAGTGATCTAATTACAAGTATCAGCTAGGACTGCTCATTGATCCCTTTCTTAAGGACCACATTCAGACTCGCAAAGCTTCCTACTTTTTCAGAAGAGATCCACTCCATCTTTTCTCTCTCCCCCTTTAAACTGTATGCATTCATTCACTCAAAAATCATTCATGCTTCATAAAAGTTGATAAAAAACCATTCGAATGCCCCCTTCCACCATCTAAAGTATGAGACTCCTACTCATTATTCGAGCAAAAAACTGTTTGTGCAATTCATGTTGCACGATCAATAATCCATGTTTGTCGAGTATTCCAAACTTGCGTATTAATAATTCTAATGAAAATCTTCTTAAGTTTACATCTTGAATGAGGAAAACTAACCATGTTAATCCTTGGCCAAATTACAAGTGGCAAGCAATATAGCCATATGATCTAGCATAAAAGTCTAGTGCCCTTGTTTTCCATACAATTTAATGGTTTCAAAGTTGGAGATAAAATCAGACGGATGAAGCAACCTTAAACAAAAATTTCGCAGCTATTTTAGCTGGCAGCTTCTTGGGAGGAAGTTTTAAGACCCTCCAATTGGCACCACAATGTCAAATCAAATGATCAAATTTGGCTTTTGAAGACAACATGTGTGGGGTGCTGAACCAATTAGCCAGTAAATGGTTAAGCATTGTCATGGTTTATAATATAATTACATCTACTCTCAGCAACCCAGACATTGCATCAACCAAAATAAACACCAAGTTTTATCATAAGAGGGATATAGAGTAACTTGTATATTATATCGATTCATTTTAATATCAAGCTCTTAACAACCATAAACTCAATCAACAAAACTTGAACAAAAATCAAACGCTTCCAGTAGTATTTTACTGTCCAAAATAAAGCCAAAGCATAGAGACGTGGTGAATCAATCACCAATTACCTCCAAAATGCTGCTTCAATTCAAAACCTGCTTATAACCAACAAAAAATCCCACTTTTCATCTAACTCTCAGCATCAGCTTTCGAGCTCCGAAAATCCCTTTTCAATTCAGTGACTCTTTTCATACAAGCTGCCTTTGACTTCCCTGGAACAGCAGCTGCAATCTTTTCCCACCTCATTGCCACATCCTTAGGAAATGCTTTCAATGCATTTAACAATGCAAGATCCTCTCCTGTGCTCCACCCCACTGCACCACCATCCGCCTGCCTACTTTCAGCACTCTCTAATCCTTCATCCTCACCTTGAGCTCTTGTATCCAATGGTTTCCGATTCTTCAAAAATCTCGCATAGGAATCACTATCATCCATCTTCTTCTCTCCCAATTCTTTAGCTTTCTTTATCACACTCTCCACTCTATGCCTCCCATTAAATGTCTCAGCAATCACCTCCCATCTCCGTGGCTTTCCTACGGGATTCTTCAACATTTGCTTCTTCAGAATCTCCACATCCTCTTCATTCCACTCCTTCTCTCCCTCATTTCTCACCAACCCATTTTCACTACTAGCCAAAGTTTCAACCTTTTTCCCTTTACTCGACAACCCGTTTGTTATCTCCACATTTTGAATCGGATTCTTCACAGTTTCTTCAGATCTAATCGGTTTTGATCTCTTTTTTCTAGCTTGTCTTTCTTCTACGATTTCGGGTTCTTGTTCAAGGGGTTCGAGGATTGGGCCTTGACCGACACGAATGTCACCTCCAGTGAGGTGACAGGGAGCGAAAGGGCCGACAAGGAGAGAGATTGAGACCCAGAAGAAGAGGGATCTGATTGGTTCTGTTTGGAGATAGAGAAATGAGAGAAGCAATAAAAGGGAAGAAAGAGAGATTGAAAGGAAGAGAAACAATTTGTTATGTGGTTTTTTTTGGGTTTGTGTATCGGTTAGTGGGCGAGATTGAAAGAGGAATCGAGGTCTAGCGTCCTCGTCTAAGAACTCCATTGTTATTTTTTTGAGAGCTATAGAGACGACGTGAACAAATAAAAGTTCGGTTTGTTTAAAATGAAAGAGGAAAAGAAAATTCTTGACGGTAAAGTATACTTTGGTCCCTGTATGTTCCCAAATATTCTACTCTATCTTATTTTCTTATTACATTTTCCTTCCACATAAATTGCACATATAATGTGCTAATATCTTGCATAACGCAAAAAAGTTCAAAACAGGATTAAGAAAATAGCATCTTTTTAGTTTGGTAAGAAGGAACATGGCAATGAGAAAACGGTCTCCAGTTTAAGAATTTTATAAAATAAATGGAATTGTAGTTTTAAAAAAATTATTATAATACACAAATCAATAAAATTGTAAGTAAACATTTTTGAATTTTATTGTAGAAAGTTAAATTATAACACGGATATTTTTATAACACGTATGTTATATATATATATACGTTCTCTCACTCCCAACTATTGTATTGGAGTATTTTTAATTTTTTCATCAAGAAACTCTCTCATGTTATAAAATAATAAATTTTCATGATTATTTCATATCTTCATCACTTATATAATTCAATTCATCATTTAATATGAAAAATTAAAAAAATAATATAATTAATTTAATTATTTATTCAAAATAATATTAAGAAAATAGCACATTTTAATTTCTTAAGATGGAGTATGGCAATGAAAAAACGATCTCCGGTTTTAGAATTTTATAAAATAAATAGAATTGTAGTTTTAAAAAAATTATTATAATATACAAATCAATAAAATTGTAAGTAAACATTTTTTAATTTTGTTATAGAAAGTCAAATTATAGAGCATGTGTGTGTATATATATTTGGTCCTCTCTCCCTCCTAATTATTTTATCGGAGTATTTTTAATTTTTTCACCACGAAACTCACTCATGTTATAAAATAATTAATATCTATAACTATTTCATATTTTCACTACTTATGTGATTCAAGTCACTATTAAATATGAGAAATTAAAAAAAACAAGTGCAATTGATTTAATTATTTATTCACATTTTAATGGTTCATAGCTCCTTCCAATTCTATTCCTAATCTTGAAGCCTATAAAAATGCTTGATTGTTCATTAGCTCGAGTACAAGTATTTTATAGAGATTGAGAGAATTATTTAGGGTTATTATCTCTTGTAGTCACTTTATTTTATAGTTAATTTATTTTTTCTATCATCTTTCTCTTCAATTATACTATTGTTATAATTTTTTTATAACACGTTATCGACACGAAACTTTAACCAACCGAGATAATAGACCATAAGGCATGTATCTACCAAAAGACTCAATTATTTGTTTCAATCATTAAATTGGTTTTCTACACGAGTGTTCTATCAAAAAATATAAATTATGTAGATCATTAAGAGATATGTATCTAATTTATCATTTACTTTAAATCTAATTATACTTCGAGTATATATTTGAAAAACTTGAATGATTCAATATATAGAATCTAATGATCTAATATATGTTTTTAAAAAAGCTTAAAATTTTATTATTGATTTTTTTCTTATTTTCTAACATTATTATTATAGCTTTCATTATAGAATTTTTATCATATCAAATCTTATAAAATTTGATTTTGTGACCCTTGACATTTTGAGCAAGAATTATTGATTATAGGTGCTTGATACCGAGAAAACATTCTCTATTTTTCATACTTTGAATATGCTCCTACAAGTAACAATATTGAGAAAAAAATTTAGAAATATTCTGAATTGATTTCATGTTTGCTTGTGGTTAAGCAAAATAACGAGTTATTGATGAAAAATCATGAATTTCATCCCATTGGATATACTATATTCCCTAAAGTGAATTTTACAACTTATAATAATTTTTGGCTTAGAAGAAAATGTGGAAATAACTATAATCGTATCGAAATAATTATCATTATAATCATGATGACCATAATAATACATCTCATCATCAAAAGTGGATAAAGTATGAAACAAAAATAAGAAAAGAATAAAAATAGATCAAGTCGGTATTGTAAAAATGAATGTTATAAATATGATATGGAGAGACATTGGATGCGTATCCGTCGTATGTCAAAACACTTCATTGAACCTTATTAAGCCTCGTTGAAACAAAAGAAAGAGTAAAATATTGATGCCAATTTTATATATCAAAATAATGATAAATGAAATTAATAACTTCTTAGCTTTTCTATTTATAGATAAAATGTTTTATATTTTTCTATTGTATAGTGATAGTTATAAATTTATTTTGCTATATATATTGTGTTTATTTAATTATTTATTTTGTGTTAATATTATAACCGATAGTATCAATCTAATAGAAAGCTCTAAAAAAAATGACTATATTACTACTTGAAGAGATAAATTTTAAAGATTCTAGAAGAGCGAATATATTATCATTTGAAGTGATAGAATTTAAAGGTACTTGAAAAGCAAATATATTATTACTTGAAAAGATAAATTTTACTAGAAATAATGCACTCGTTCTCTCTAGAGTCTTTTAAAAATTTATTGAGTTTCAAAGATATTCGTCTAAATGAACATCCTATCACGAAAGTAAATGTAGAATTTATTGAATACTTAAATATTATAATTATTACATCGAGTAGAAAATATGTATTAGAGAAATTACCTATTTTTTCTTTTACTCTTTATTACAAACATTTGAATGATTGAAATAAATGCTATAGTAAACCAAAAGTTTACTAATTCAAATATTTTTATTAGGTGACATGATCGGTTGTGTTATATTAGGTCTTTCATTATGCGAAAAATTATTAAAAATCTATATGGACATCTATTGAAGAGCTAAAAGATTTTTTAATCTAATAATTTTTTTGTTCTATATGTTTTCAAGGCAAATTGATTATTAAGCTATCACCAAGTAAAATTAAGATTGAATCTTCGGTATTTTTAGACTATATTCAAGGTGATATATATGGATCAATTCATCCACCATGTAAATCATTTAGATATTTTATGATTTTAATAAATGCATAAATAAGAAGATCATATGTATGTTTATTATCTACTCGAAACCAAGTGTTTTCAAGGTTGCTAACTCAAATAATTCGATTTCAAGCACAATTTTCAGATTATGGCATTAAAATTATTCACCTTGATAATGCTCGATAAATTTATTTCTCAAGCGTCAAATGATTATTGATTGGTTAATAAAATAAAGATTGAACAACTTATTGCTCATGTTCATACTTAGAAAAGTTTAACGGAATCATTTATCAAAATGCCTTGATTGATAACTAAGTCATTAATTATGAAAACAAAAATCCTTATTTATGTTTGGGGATATGTAATCTTATAAACGACAGAAACTTATTTGCATCGGACCCATAAGTTATTAAAAATTCTTTCCTCTTTAATTAGTTTTTGGTCATAAACTAAGAATTTTTAGATGTGTAGTATATATCTATAATGCTCCACCACAACGAAATAAAATGGGTACTTAAAGAAGATTGAAAATATACATTGGATTTGAATCCTTTTTGATAATTAAATATTTTGACCCATGAACATGAGATATTTTTACAGACTTGATTTACCGACTATCATTTTGATGAAACGGTTTTTTCAACATTAAGAGGAGAAAATAAACAAAATAAGCAATTAAAAATGTTGAAAAGAGATTACATAGAGTACTCCATCTTGATCATCATACAAAAACAATATGAATTAGAAGTTTAGAAGATAATTATTTTACAAGGTATTGCAAACTAAGCGCCGGATGCATTTTTAGATCTAAAAAGAGTAATTAAAATGCATGTTATTGTTGAGAATGTTTATATTAGAATTGATGTCCTAGAAGGACAATTTATTAATGTTATAGCAAATGAATCTAAAGCATGCTTGAAGTGTGGAAGATCGATCGATTTTAAAGATAAAAATTCTTGAAAGAAAATGGCAAATAATCAAGATAAAAATGTTAGAGAAGCAAATATTTACAAAAATGGTCCATGATATTTTTTATAATAGACTTTCAAAAGAAGTCTAAGTGCTTAAAAAAATCAAGAAACTTTGATAAATTACATCAATATAAGGAGAAAATGGGATCGAAAAGAAAATTTATTGATAAAATTTATGCATATAATGTTGCAACTAATATTTTAAATAAAAATAAAGATCTTGAGCCTAAATCTATTAAACAATATCGATATAGAGATGATTGACTTAAATAAAAATAGCAATCCAGAAAAAATTATGTTCTCTTACAAAACAAGCAATTTTTGAATCCATAGTCAAAACACTTGAAGATGTTAAGGTGGTGGGACACATGGATATTTGTGCGAGAATAAAATAAGAAAGATGAGATTGTGAGATACAAAACAAAACTTGCAAAGACTTGACATTGATCGTAAGGAGACATATTTTCCTATAATTGATGCAATTATATTTTATTATCTCATTAGCTTGACAAAATATATAAAAAAATAAATATGTATGCATTTAATGAATGTGATCATAACATATTTGTTCACTTGAAATGATATCTTTATGAAAGTTCTAGAATGATGTAAGATGCTTGAAGCATGTAATATATATTCTCGAGAAATGAATTCAATTAAATTATAGAAATCTCTAGTAGGATTATTTTAATATTTTTTTATTATTTTAATTTTTATAAATTCAATTTATGCTATATTTTTTATATTTATTTTTTATTTTTCAATATCTACTCTTTATTACTAAGCCATGCACATATGGTATAATCGCTTCAATAAATATTTATTAAAAGAAGGTTATAAAAATAATCATATTTATTTATGTATTTTTATAAAGAAAATTGGAAAAGGGTTTGTGATAATTATTGTATATGTTGATGATTTAAATGTTATTGAAACTCCCGAAAAGATTCAAAGTGTCATAAATTATTTAAAAAGAGAATTTGATGTGATTACCTTGGAAAAATAAAATTTTATTTCGACTTGTAGTTCGAGCACTTAGAAAATAAGGTTTTTATTCATCAATCAATTTATGTAGAAAAGTTCTATATTGATTCTATATAAAGCTCATCCATTGATTAGTTCAACGGTAGTTCGATTACTTGATATCCAAAAAAAGTATTTTTCAATCTAAAAAGGATAATGAAGAATTACTTGATCCTAAAGTACTATAGCTTAGTGCAATTAGTATAATGATATAACTTGCTAATAATATTTAACCTTATATATATATATATATATATATATATATATATATATATTGGCAAGACATAGTTCTGCTCCAATACGGAGACATTGAAATAAAATTAAACATTTTTTATGCTATCTCCCAAGAAAAATTGATATGATATTTATTTTACTTCAATAAATCAAAGACACGATTAATTAATTATACGAATACAAGTTATTTATTTCATCCATACAAAACTTGATCATAAATAGGTTATGTATATACATATGGTGATACGGATATATCATGAAGTTTTATGAAGTAAAATATAGCTACCGCATATTCAAATCATGTAGAAATAACAATTCATGAGGCAAGCGGAGCATGTATTTGACTAAGATAAATGACCAATCATATCCGATAGACATGTAGTTTATCTATCAACAAAGAAGCTCCAATAATTAGAGGTGATCATTCGGTTTTTAGTTTGGTTTTGGTTTTTTTGGTTTTCGATTAACCAAATTGACTAAAACAAAAATCGAAATCGAACCGAATTGAGGTTTGGTTTTTCTATAAAAAACTGAATTTTTTTGTTCGGTTTTTTTATTTTCGCTTAAAAACCAATTTTTTTTAAAAAAATTGAATTAATTGCTTTTAAAAGAAATATCAAACTTGCATAGTAATTAAGTACTATTTTCAATAGTGATTGATTTTTTTTTCATTTATTTTTGGAATGGATCGCTTGTTTAGATTACAATTTCTAAAGACATAAATTGATTTACTTAATAACCATATCATAACTTTTATAACAATTTAACTTTACAACTCGTTACCATGAATACTATCTCGTCATTTGAATCTTATACTTCGATTAATAAATACACTTTTCTCTATTTATTGAGCACACTATGATAAAAGATTGCATATTTCGCATATGATTTTATAAGAAAATTGTGTAAGATTATTATTATTTTTCTATATAAATTTGTTTTTATTTATATTATAAACTAGATTGGTTGGACTTCTCATTATTTTTTCAATCACACTACAATTGGTTTATTATTAATTTTTCATATTTTTTTAATCTCTTTATTTTGTGCATATTTTATTGTTGAATAGATAATTTGAAAATTTCAATTTTTAATTTATGTTTGGTATCAGCATAAAAAGAATGAAAAAAAATTATTATTGTTAGTTGTTATCAATACTACTATTATAAATGTAGCGGCTTGGGGTCAATTTTTTCGGAGGATATTTTTGTGCCAATTTTAATACAAGGAGACAATTTCTTTTTCATGAAGTTTTAGGATTCACCCATATATAAACTTGTGTATTTATAAAGATTTACTTTATCTTGCTCTTTTTTTAATTTGTTTGTGAGTCAATATAATATAATCAATTATTTTATTATTTCAATAACTAATTAATGGGAAATATTTTTAATTTAAGTAGAAAAAAATTATTAAAGCTATTGTTTTTTTTGGTTAAACCCATTGGTGCCTATTTTATTTTATTTTAAAAAGAGCTTGGGTGTGTGTTTAAAAACAACACTAATTCGGTTTTTGTTGGAAACCGAATTTTTTTTAAAAAAACCGAATCGAAATAATTTTGGTTTTTTTTTTCAAATTTTTTTTATAAAACCGAATCGAAATTGCTAATTCAGTTCGGTTTGGTTTTTCAGTTTTAAGCGAATAATGTTCAACCTACCAATAATATCATATAAAGATAATGTTGCTTTCATAATTCAATTAAAGGAAGAACATTTCAAAGTGACAATTCGACGATTTATTCGCCGAGGTATAACCTATCATAATTTTTGAAAAAGCTGATTCACAAGATTGAGATGCGTCGTCTTAAAGATCTTAAATGATATTTTTAATACGAGGAGCCTAACATAGAGATTAATAGATACAAGGAATATCGTATTATTTTTTCTTTATTAGGATTTTTCCCCATTGAGTTTTTTTATAATAAGGTTTGACAAGATATTAAGGAGGAGTGCTATAAAATAATGAATGTCCACGACCATTTCATATTTTCGCTATTCATATGATTCAATTTACCATTAAATATGAGAAATTAAAAATATAATTTAATTTATTCAATTATTTATATATCTTTTAATAATTCATAACTCTTTTTAATTCTCTTTCTAATTTTGAAGCATATAAATAGACTTGATTATTTATTAACTTGAATATAAATATTTTGAAGAGATTTAGAAAATTATTTAAAGCTGTTATCTTTTATATTCACTTTATTTTATAATAAATTAGTTTTTTATATCGTCTTTATCTCTGGTTATGTTATTCTTACAATTTTTTTTATAACACCTCAGCGATATTCTCTGAACCGTTTCTTTCGAAAAACAGTTGATGCCCGCCTTTTGTTTCAAAACTCTGAAACTCTCTCTTTCAGAAACTTCACTCAAGCTTCGATTTTTCTCACTCCATGTTCGGTTCTTTAAGTCCCATACAAAAATTTCCAAAACCCATCACTTTAAACTCGCATTAGATGACTCTCAACTTCTCCGCTGCCTCTCCCAACAAAATATCCAACAAGCACGCAACCTGCTTGACAAAATTCCCAACAGAAGCCGCCATGGCCGAATTGTTTACTGGACTTCTTTGCTTACGAAATACTCGAGAACTGGCTTCATTGACGAAGCTAGAGTTCTTTTTGATATCATGCCTGAGAGAAATATTGTTAGTTACAACGTGATGCTGTCAGGGTATTTGCAGTGTGGGAGGTTGACTCTGGCAAGGAAGTTGTTTCAAGAGATGCCAGAGAGGAATGTTGTTTCATGGACTTCGATGCTTTGTGGGTTAGCTGATGCAGGAAGGATTTGTGAGGCAAGAGGATTGTTCAAGGAGATGCCAGAGAGGAATGTTGTCTCATGGAATGCAATGGTTGTTGGGTTGATTAGGAATGGGGATTTGGAGGAAGCAAGGCTGGTTTTTTATGAGATTCCAGAGAAGAATGTGGTTTCTTTTAATGCTATGATTAAGGGGTTGGTGGAGAATGGTAGGATGGAGGAAGCCAGGGTTTTGTTTGAGGAGATGGAGGATACGAATGTGATAACTTGGACTAGTATGATAGCAGGTTATTGCAGGGTAGGTGATGTTCAGGAGGCTTATTGTTTGTTCTATAGAATTCCTGATAGAAATGTTATTTCTTGGACAGCCATGATTAGCGGGTTCACTTGGAATGGTTACTATGAAGAAGCATTATTGCTTTTTATCGAGATGAAGAGGAGTTCTGATATAGCACCAAATGGAGAAACCTTTGTTTCACTTGCTTATGCTTGTGCTGGTATGAGGTTTCATCATCTTGGCAAGCAGGTACATACTCAATTGATTATTAATGGGTCGGAATACGATGATTATGATGGCAGGTTAGCCAAGAGCCTTATTCACATGTACTCTTCATTTGGCATCATGGATTATGCACACTACATCTTTAACAGGAACTTAAACAGTTATGTTGTTCAATCTTGTAATTGTATGATTAATGGTTATACTCGGACTGGACAAGTGGAACTGGCTCAAGAATTGTTTGACACTGTACCTGTTCGGGACAAGATCACATGGACTTCAATGATCAATGGGTATTTTAATATTGGCAATGTTTCTGAGGCTTGCTATTTATTTGAAAACATGCCCGATAAGGATGCAATTGCATGGACTGCAATGATTTCAGGGCTTGTCCAAAATGAGCTTTTTGCTAAGGCTACCTCTTTCCTTTTGGGAATGCGGGCTCATGGTGTTCCACCATTAAGTTCTACATATGCCATTCTTTTTGGAGCCGCTGGTGCAATGGCTCACCTTGATATTGGGAGGCAGTTGCATAGCATGTTGATGAAAACACTATCTGACTTTGACTTATTTCTTGGTAATTCTCTGATCTCAATGTATGCAAAATGTGGGGAGATACATGATGCATACAGCATATTCACTAACATGAATTATCGTGACCTAATTTCTTGGAATACTATGATTATGGGATTAGCACATCATGGTCTGGCAAATGAAACACTTAAAGTTTTTAATGCCATGCTCCAATCTGGGACTTGCCCGAATTCAGTTACATTTTTGGAATCCTATCAGCATTTGGCCATACTGGGTTGGTTAGTCAAGGATGGCAAATATTTAATGCAATGTGCAATGTTTATGCAATTCAACCAGGTATAGAGCATTATATTTCTATGATTAATCTTTTGGGCAGAACAGGGAAAGTAAAAGAAGCAGAAGAGTTCATATTGGGACTGCCTTTTGAAACAAATCATGCTATCTGGGGGCGTTGCTTGGTGTATGTGGGCTTGCTGAGAGAAGTGCTGACATCGCTAAACATGCTGCCAGGCGACTCCTTGAGCTGGATCCTTTGAATGCACCTGCTCATGTTGCACTCTGCAACATATATGCAGCCAGTGGTCAGCATGTCGAGGAGCAAAAATTAAGGAAGGAGATGGGTTTGAAGGGTGTGAGAAAGGTCCCTGGATGCAGTTGGATAGTTCTAAATGGAAATGTTCATGTCTTTCTATCAGGAGATAAGCTAGATCCAGAAATAGATGAAATATTATTATTCTTATTCCAGTCTGGTGATGGATGATGATAGAAGGTATGGGATTTTCGAAGTTCGGACTGCCTGAATACTGCAATTTTGCTAATCGTTCAGATTTGATATGAGTGGCATTATCTTGATGATTCCTATGAGGTCTGATTCAGATAAGCCTTTGGCTGGGAAGGATTGGATGCAATATAGAGTAGCTAAAGTTTTTTCTGCAATAAAGGTATAATATTTTTCTTCTCCATCTTGCTAACTGTTGAATGCCAATTATTTTCTGGGTGATTCTTCAATGATCCGCCATTGTTTCCTATCTATATTGAAAACCTTTGGTACTGAAGGAAACCACCTTAGTTTCCTCCACACATGTATAGTCAGAGGGCAATATGCCATCTGTTCATTACATCATTGTACAAATTTCATACATTTATCCGACACTGCTCCCAACCTGAATGTTACATGTTGTCATTCCATGTCAATAAGTCAAGCCTCGATCTCAAACTAGTTGGGTCGTCTAAACATATCCTCTTCCCATGTTAAATTTTGTTTTGTGTCAAACTTCCTAAACAGTAGCAAAGGAGGGATAAAGCCTGTTTAGCTCTTTTGATAGTGACCTTGTTGATGTAGTCGATCCCCCTAACATACATTTTTTTGTCACACCACCTCGAGCATGTATTAATATGAACTGATATTTTGTTGTTTGTGTTAGAGATTAGCCCATTTGTTAATGGAGATATGTAAAACCTTGGTTTCAGCAAATACCTTGGCCACATGTGTGGGAGTTTAAAGAAGAAGTGAATCTATTAGCTGATTGGCTATGTGCTTATTTTTGCACCTGACTTCATTTCATGGGGGGTGCTGTTCCTTTACTTTATTAATGATCCGTGGAAGATGACCATCATTATAAATTTTATAGGATCTGGAATCTGAACTCTCGCATCTGGTTCTCATGAAACTTGGCTTTGGTCAATGAATCCTGTCCTTGAATATTTGGGATGGATCTTCTGTTGAAAGGCAATTTTCTTTCTGGATGTGTAGTAATTTGGTGCACTGTCTTTGTTTTATGTGTTCCGATTTTGGGATGTTGATGAATCTTGTCGTGGTTTGGTAGCTACAGTCCTTGTTTGAGTAGGATAACTTGCAAAATCAATATAAATTTAATTATTTGGCACAATCTGGTACAAGGGAAAAATGGAGTTCTTCTGTTTCTTTTACCTTCTTTGAGGTGTTGGTAGTCAAGTAGGTTTTAATTCATCTTGAAGGTTGTTATGCATACTTTGCTTTCCATATGGTTTGACATCACGATTGCTAGACATTATGTAGTCCTTATGTGAAATATCTAATCCAAATGAACTGGAGTGTTGCCTAGGTATGTTTTGTATATTTGCTACCAGACTTAGTGTGGTCCATATGGCATGAATTTTCATATGCGGGCAGTACAAGCTCTTGATTGCCAAGTGTATGGGCATGAACAATGGAAGTACAGCTCTCTTTTGAGTTTGAAATTTGATTGTGTGAAATTTTTTCCAGTTAGTTTGTGAGTATTTGGCCTATGTATATCAGCAGCTTCAGGTACAACATTGCACATTTTTTTTTTTTTGAATTTAGGAAAAAGGGTTGCATAATTTGTAAGCCCTTGTAAGCTCATCTAGTTCCTAATTTCATGGCCTGTTGTTTGTTATAAATATCTGCTGCTTCTGCTATTTAAAGTGATGGATCCTAATATGATTGCATCTAAACTGAGGGTAACTTGTATGTACAACAAATGAATTCGATCGTGTCTAGTGCTTTATGACACTTGACTTTTGCTTGCGAAACTCCAATTCCTGGCAGTTGCTCTCTGAGAGATTCCTATTGTATAACCTGTTAAAGACCAAGTGCAGATCAGTTTTCTTATGAAGTGGCTGGAATTTTGTTGGTCATTTGTTGCACACACATCTGGTGCAGTTTTCCATGGATTTCATATCGCAACCTTGCTGCTATTTGTCCATGTCAAAACTGTGAGTTTGATTTGAGATACCATATCACTTGTCAAATATGGACACTATCAAGGAATGCTCTATTGTCATATCTGGTGTTATGGCAATATCGATATTGCTTGGAGTAATTAATAAAGCTCTCGTGTAGGCTGTGACTCATTTGATTTGTTCCCTTTGAAAAAGGCTCATGTGGAATTTTGCTTAGGTTGATCTACTCTTTTAAATTACTTTCTACTTAACCACACATCCGTGTTGCTTGTATAGGCAAAATGTTGAATGCAGCTGGGTTCATAGATATGTTTTATTGATAGGATATGGAAAAGGTACCCAGGGACAAGACTACAACCTAACTTTAATCTCAACAACACCATTAAGAATAAGTTAAGCTTTGTACCTATGTGTGTATCTTGTTGGCTACATTTTGAAAATAGGTCACACGTTAGTTACTCTGAAGATTTCCATGATTGTCCTTGCTATCGACTGGCTGGAGGAAGCTCGATTGCTTCCTAAAATCCTCAAACCGTTGCTGACTGAAGTTGGGACCCGTTTGAATATGAGACTTTGCCTTTTATTTTTGGTTATCTGTATGTGCTTCCCCTCATAAAATATAGTTATGTCCCATGGCTGTAAAGAGAGAGAGGGAGAGGTATGTATCTGAAACAATTCCTTTTCAAATGTTTGTAGAGAGAGAAAAAAGCCAGCTCAAATATAGTATGCACAATTGCATGAGAGTACTGAAAGGTTGCCTTCTCCTGGAAAAGGAAAATGGCTCAGGAATCTAACAGTTCCATTTTATTAGCATGGCCTTAGGCTCTCTCACATACTGGTATTTCAATTAGCAGTCTCAAAATCCAATTTGCACCCAATTAAATACAGGATTTTACCTTTATTGTTCAATTAGAGTGTTAAGTTTAGCTACAATCTTATAAAAAAAAAAAAAAAGGGAAAAATTTTTGCTTTTTTTATTTTTTTGTTGAGAATGACAGAAGGGAGTTTCTTTAAAAAGGAAAAAGAAGAAGAAACAAAGGAAGGTTAAAATCTAAGCTTGATGAATGGGCCTGCTAATTAACCGGCCAGTCCAATAAAATCTTGTATTGACGGAATTCAACGCCTAACCGTTAGAATGAAATCTAATAAAATCTGTATATTATTCCACGTTCATCGTACTTCTAGCTAGTTCTACAGCAGCTCCAAAACTCTTTCACTGGTACGATCTCTCTCTCTCTCCCTCTTCATCATTTCTTTCTTTTCTATTTGTTGCTGTGTAGTACTAGCAAATCAAGTTTGGAAATTTGTCTCACACACATTGACGAAGGAAAATTGAAATTGATTAGTATTTCTTATCTCTAATTCATGATATTCTGCATTTTTTAAGGGAAAAAAAGGATATTGATGTTTATTGACTGCAGCTTTTTGCATGAGAAACTGTGAGAATTGTGGATTTTGTTGCGAAAAGATATTGTTTAGTACTAAGATGCAGTTTAAATAAAATGACAAATGCTGTTCCATCACGAAGGATATTATTCATATTAAAGCACGGCTGCTTCAAATGCGGGATCAAAATCCCTGCAATTAATTAGTATATTTGAAGCGATATAGACGTATCAAAGAGAAAAAAGAACACAACGAAAAGAAGATGAAGAACGTTAAGCAGGAAGCGCGGGATCTTTTTCTTAGGGATGAAGGTCCTGTTTGGTTAAACCAGTAAAGCTCGAGGAAGGACAACAATAAGAAAATGATTATACTAAGGAAGGCGGTGTTATGGTTGATACGGCCTCTAATCATTCTCAGGCAGCTGAGCTCGGCGCCCATTGTTTCTTGAGTTCACCTGGAGAGGCGCTTTGCATAGCAGATATTAAGGCTAGCTAGGAAGTTACTGACTCGAGTACAGTGACTAGAAGTTGCAGGTATTATTGAGAATATTTTTGACTTGCGATTTAGAGTTGAGTCTTTGAGGCCTGTGACTAGACGAGCTGAAGGAGGAGCTTGCTGGGCTAGATTATCTGAAGGGGGAGATGCTTGCTTTAATGCGTAGTTTGGAGTACGGTGCAAGAGTTCGAGATGCAGATTGTAGTTTGCTCAACTTGCCCTCCCGTGCAGACGAGGATAATTGAGTCTTGGTGTGTGTAGCAATAAGTGTAAATGTTTTTGTAAAAATGCACTAAACATCAAATTGATCTTTTTTATGTTTTTTGATATCAACACATCAAAATTATTCAAAAACACCTAAAAAAACATCAAATTAATACCTTTTCAGATCGAATATATTTTGAAAAGTATCACCAAATAGTTTGCTTTAGCCACTTTCTTTCATGGTTGTGATGTTATGACATATGAGTTATGGATGCTATGTATGCCATTTCCACATTCTAGTATTTTATGCTTCCTTCTTTTGCGAGTGTGATTTCCCTTATTTAATTTTTTTTTTTCTTTTGTGTGTTTTCTGATAGCATACATCTAATTGGAGATCAAGTCACCCAAAAAAAAAAAAAAAAAAAAATTCATGGAGAAAGTAGAATCTAAAAAGATAGTATCATTAACCATTGTTAACCAATAACATTTAGATGATCATGATGCTGCAATGAAAATTTGATAGAACTTTCAAGTATAACTCGTTAACTAATAACTTGTGGATGATATTCCTGTAATGGAAATTTGACAGAACTTACAAGTATAACATATAAAAATAAACATCTACAAAAATGCATAAATAACAACACAATATACAAGCAATACAACCAAAAAATAGAAATACATTGTACTATTATTACATTAGGATTGTTTCATTAATTCAAATGAATTTTCCCTAAACTCTCTCTCTATATAATTCCTATTTCTACTAACAACATAATCAAATTTATATAAGATTTCATTTTCCTTTTTCTTTTTTCTACCTCAAATATTAAGATTTTATTGTATTTCATTTTTTGCATTAAGTTATTTACTTTCAGAATACTCAAGCTCTAACTTATAGGATTTCTAAGAGCAAAAAAGATAACCCAACGACAAAAAAGAAGAAGACATTTTCGAATACTAGTTATTTTCTCACCTCATTTTTAATTGATTCTTGTGAGAAAACCTATATGATAATTCATTTTCTCTTTAAAATCCTATACAATGCTAATCTAAATTAAGATTTCAAATTTCAAAATTAATTCTGAAAATGTTATATTAAGCCGAATGAATGCAAAGTAAGTAGCACATGACTTGATTTTTTTTTTTAATATTTAAATTCAAAAAATTACATCCAATCAAACATAAATTTAATGTCCTATTTCTTAAAGAATGGAATCCTTAATTACCTACAAAATATCATGTGAATCGAATAAAGCATAGTTTTGTAAATCTTTTGGGAACTTTCGCACCGAGCAAGGCCTCAAATGACCAAATGACGTGAGAAGAGCATATTTTACACTTCTCTTTTTTCTGATTTTTGCAGGTCATTCACTTCTACAAGAGAGATTTTTTTTTTAAAATATCATGCAAGAGAGATCTTTAAATAATAATAATAAAAAAAATTCAAAATTCAAAATTCAAAACAAACAAAAGAGTCGGTTATCGGGCTCATCGGTTAGCCCAGCCGAATAAATATGTAGGCCCTAAAACCGACTGACCAGTTAGAATCAAAACCATTCCCCAGCCCAAATTGAAATCCCTCCTGGTGTTTGGCTACTACGAAAATCGGTCAGATTCCTCCGTATTTTCCATTGCCTCCTATTTTCTTTCCCCACTCTCTGTTTCGCGTCTATTGTTGTTCTAAGTTTCTCTTCCTCTTTAATCTCCTTTCGAATTTCAAGTTTAACGGCAACACTGTCCCAACCTGTTTAATATCTTCTGCTTGCCGACGCCAACTGATTGACGCCTCCACCGGACTTCTCCGGCTGCTGCAAATACTCCTCCTTCACTGGTCCGATTTTACTCTCTCTCTCTCTCTTCGATTCTATTTATTATTTAAGTTTGAATTGCTTATTTCTAATTTTGTGATTATCTATCTTATTTTAAGATAAAAGTTAGTTTATATTTCGTATTTATTTTATACTTTCTCTGGTCGATTACTGTTTGCATATCTGTGCTATGTATAAGATGTTGGTTTAACTGTGATTCTAGGAAGGACAATTATATTAAATTTTGGCTGCTTAGACTATGGGATCCAAGTCATTGAAAGAATATTTGAAAAAATATGAAAGTAACATTCAAGAAGAAGAGAAGAAAAAGAAAAAGAAGAAGAAGAAAGTTAAACCGGACGGCCCTGGTGTTCTAGTTGTAGATGAAGATCCTGTTTGGCAAAAACCAGTAAACCTTGAAGAGGAGGAAGAAAATGATTCAGCCGGTAAGAAAAAAGGAACAAAATCTATATTAACCTTTAGTGTATTTAAGAATTTCAATTTTTCTTTCCTAATGTATATGTGTGTTGTTATTGTGTTTTGTAGATGTTGCTAATGTGTATGCGTGTTATTATTGTGTTTTGTAGATGATGAGAAGCCTCAAGTTGATGAAGACATAGATGCTAAAAGAATGAAAAGGCTGGAGCTAATTAGAGCTCGACGGGCTTACAATGCAATAGCTGAGGATGGAAGTGGTTGGGTTACATTATCTCCTAAACTTGCGAATTCTGCTGATCCATATTCGGATATGTCTCCTCCTCGTAAAAGGAAGGTTCGGAATGACACACCCTCACCTGAGCATGAAGGGAAGCCTTCGCATTCTGGTGGAGATCATGCAGATTTGTCACCTCCGCGTCAGAGGCAGAGACGGCACCATAGTCCGTCATTTGCACCTGATACAAATTTGAATTCAGATATGTCACCACCTAGTAAGCGAAGGTATCGAAATGATACACCATCACTGGAACTGCAATTGAAGCCTTCAAGAGAAGTTGGTGATTTCTCACCACCACGACGGCAGCGAAAACACCATCATTCTCCATCACCTGAACCTGATATAAATTCCAAACATTCCAGTGGTCTGAATTCTGATTTGTCACCACCACGAAAGCCGAGGGCTGATGCTGAATCATCTTCTCCACCACCTAAATTTAAGTCTTGGAGAGAAGGTACTGATTTGTCTCCTCCAAGACAACAGCGGCGGCGGCACTATTCTCTTTCACCAAAACCCGAGTCAGATCTTTCACCCCCAAGGAGAAGCAAGAAGGATGTTGGGAGATCAGGGTCACCTGATAATTCTCAATCATTACGACAACATTCAACTCAGAGTGGTAATCCACGTGCATCTATGGCTCTGGAAATTTCTCCTCCTAGGAAAAACAGGAAAGAATCATCTGATCCAGCTTCTTCAAGGGAACAGCCAAAAACTGGTCTGGTTACTGGTCGTGATATGCGGGAAGAAATTCTTAAAACTAAGAAGGATGCATCATTGTTGTAAGTTCCTATGAGTACCTAAAGTGCTTGGTCTATTGCTCATTTCATGTGCAAACATTGTCTTATTTTCTGGTTAATCAAGTAGTTTTGTGCTTTCCATCTGCACAGTGTCCGTCTACATATTCATCTCAACTGTGAGTTCTTTTAAATGCACACCCTCTATTGGCCAGTGTTACTTCTCTGGCACACACTAGCTGTATGGATATTTTTCACGTGATTGTGGAAGCTGCAGCTGCTGTTTGTTTCAACATAAGATGAACTATTGGGTAAAGATGGGAAAGATTTTACTTGTTAAGAAACATTTTCTTTGTGGGTTTCTAGTATTTAGGCTTAACGTACTAGAAATTTCAGATATCATGTTCTAGGTGGTTGGTTGTGTTTGTGAGTTTTTTGCACTCCAAAACGTGTTAAATGCTCCACCAGTTTCAATTGTTTGGTGTAAAGCCAATTGAGTCTCACTATATTTATCACTCTATTGGAATAGAAGTCAAAACACATTTGTTGAAGTTGGGTTTAACCTCATTTTATGGTGAAACTATAGACCCTTTGTTTTGTGTGCTTGCAACGTTGAAAATATTAGGAAGGGCCTTGTGGTCTAAGTTGCTATAGGGGACTGCAATGGATCATGGTGAGAATAATTAATCACCTGTTTTAGACTTCTCAGTATCATTTGCTAAGGGTTCAATGTGTGTGCCAAACTTGGGGTTTGTCAAGCCTGTGGGACTTTGTGATAGGATTGTCTTGTTGTTTAATTGCCCTTGTGATATGAGTGATATTTCCAGCATTCAGCTCGCAAACACATTGAAGCAGCCAAAAAATTAACAGTAATGGCTTGAACACTAGAATGATCCTTAGGAATAGCAATCTTTTTCTTCTATAATTCATGCTTCTTGCACCATTAAATTATACATGAATTTCTTATTACAATTTCGGCTTCCATTTATTGATTTTTAATTTAAACTAGGACATTTTGGTGTCCTTGATGAATATCATGGCGTAGGGCAGTGGCATTCTATACTGATTTCATATAGCCTGTGCTCAATCCAACATTTTTATTTACAGTGACATGGAGAAGTGAAGGAGCTGGTGTTTGATTATGTTTTGGTTTCACGAATCCAATTTACTTGATGTAGTTGATTTATTCATTTTCGCAGGTTTGACCAGATGGATCCTTCTATAAGTGGACGTGGTGCTGAACCTATATATCGTGATAAGAAAACAGGTTAGCTAACTAAACAACATCATTTCTAAGGGATGTCGATACCCATATTACATGTTTGACAGCTTTTTTTTTTTATTTGTTGACAATATGCCAACAATGATAGCATTTTAGTCTAAGGAAAATTTCCTATGTCCTAATTAGTCATTTAGTCCTCGGGTTGTTGCTGATCTAGTTTATTTATGTTTTCATGCTTTATTAAGTCGAGCTTGAGTAAAGTAAGAGATTGTATATGAGTGCTTTTTTTGGGCGCCGCGCGGGGGGGGGGGCGGGGGGAGGGTTGGGTTTGGGGGGTTGGTGGTGGGGTGGTGTGTTGGGTTGGGGATAGAAAGAAATATAAGGGTGGACATGAAGTTAAACTGAAAGAAATGGGGTCATAAATAAAAATAACCGAGCTTTTGGAGTTGTCTAATTGAAAGAATCCTTATATATAAGGGGTCAAATCTTTTATATTTTTTATTATTGTTGTTGTTGTTTTTTGGGGGTGGTGGGGTTGCTTGGCCCCCTCAATGCATGCTGTGCACCAGCTCTATGAACAATTTAAACTAAATCACGAAATGTTATTACGTTTCTTGTTCATAATTCATATTGTTTTTCTTAGTTTTATCAACATTACACCTGATAACCTTGAAAATCCAAGTTGATTTACTTCTAGCCTTTCCCAGCCAATTCATGAAATCTGCCAGAGAATTTTAGCAACCACAGTTTCTTGTTTTGATCACAAATAGTAATCAATACAAACCCCAATCTCTGTCCCAAGAATTGTAAACCTAACTCTGATTATCTAAGTTAATCTCGCCAAAAAGCTCACCGGGGCAGTGTGGTCTGCTGATACCTGTCCTCCTTGAGGATGTAAATCAATGATATTGTGACTTTTAACCATTTTTACTAACTAATACTGCAGGAGAGCGCATATCGAAGGATGATTACTTGAAATCAAAACAAAAAGTTGAAGAAAAACCCAAGGTACTATTTTAACTTGTATTTATGAATGCGCATTCTTGACTGGTCATATATGTCATAATTGATGAAATTGTTTAGTAGTGGATTCATTGCAACTTAAATTTAACTGTTATCATCTTGGAAGCTATATGATGTTTTGGGATAAAAGAGCCTTGTTGATATTAGTTAAAGTTGTTTGCAGAGTTGTTTATACTCATGGATGGATGTTTATTTCGCAAGGATTGGGGTTTTGCATTTTGCAAAGTTGTTTAATGGCTCTTTATCTTTCTTCATGTGGGTCTTTGCATGCACCTGAAACATTCAACATTTGATTTGTGGTATGGGTTTGAAGATAGGGTATTCACAGATGGTACGCTTAGTCGGTAATTTAGTTTGGATCCTGGTATGGTTTGGAGTTTGGACACCTTTTGGTTCATTTAGGTCAATAGTATTATGATGCTGTAAACAAACCAAATATCTGTCCCAAGGGCAGTAATATTATGAAGCCTCCAATAGGTTTGGAATTTTCTTCAATACAGCATCACAATATTATTGCCGAAATCGAACCAGATATTTGTCCCAAGCATACAGCACAGCAAATTAATTTAGCAACCAGTTCCCCCACCCCCGCCCCAAAAAAAACACACACACACACACACACACACACACACACACACACACACACACACACACAGAGGCACGCACAAAGATACCACAAATTTATCCAAGTGTGTGCCCCCATACACATGAGTAGTCCTTGTTTTTTGCAACTATTTTTGGACTGTTCTATATCTATTTTGTTCTTTTCATGGGCCAGTTAGCTTTTTATCCTTTTTCATCCACGGAGCATTAGTTTTACATCTTTGCTGTATTGTTTAATCAGGAGAAGAAATTGGAGTGGGGAAAGGGCTTGGCTCAAAAGCGGGAAACTGAAGCTAGACTGGAGGAGTTAGAGATTGAGAAGGAAAAGCCATTTGCACGGACTAGGTAAGACTAAACACATCAACCAATGCCTTAGTTCTAGCGTTTGCTTTGAATGTGTCATAATTGCGTGTTTGTATGAGACAACTGGAAAAAATTGTGTGCTCAGTATTTTGCCAAATAAACCACTGGAATCTCTTCTTTTCTCTCTCACATTTCTTTTCCATTCTGTTTTCCACTTTGTAAATCGAATTTCTAGCCATGTTGTACTGTCCCTTAGCAAAAGTCTAGACGATAATATTGCTTCCTGCAAACTAAAGCAGTCATAGATTTACTATTGGACGCTTCTGCAATTGTTATCATTGCCGTTGGTCGTGTTGATAGAATTTCAGCTTCCTGTAAAAAAATACGACGTGGGAGAAAAAAATACCGAAAAAAAATGAAGAAGCTTCTGGTTGATTTGCTAAACCCATCACCATGGTAACAAAGAATGGTGCTGTGGTATGATGAGAAAACTGGAGGGTGAATAAGAAGCTGAGAAGCTAGCCCACTTTCAATGTCCATTTTTTTCCAAATTTTCACCCAAGACTACTTGGTCAATTTGTTAGGAGTTAGTGATGAACAATTTTTCAATGCAAAATAAGCAGGTATCTGTACTGAAACTGAAATTTTGGATTGAATTTTTTTTTTTTTAACACTAGAATTAACGTTCTTGGTGAATAAGATGCTTGATGAAGGCTTCTGAATCTTTAACTTTATTTAATAGCATTGTGGACTGTTGTACCTTCTTGTTTTATTCATTAAAGGATTTGTGTCATTTTTTTTTAAGCTTTCTTCAACTTAATATTATTGTTCTTTTTTACGAGGAAAAAGTGTTTGGGGTATCGGTCTGAATCTTCTTGTATATCCACAGAAAGACGGGGAAAGAAATGAACTTTCTTGTAGTATAGCAATTTATTGATGCATGTTACGTTTGCAGGGATGATCCAGAACTTGACAAAATGCTGAAGGAAAGAGTGAGATGGGGTGATCCAATGGCACATTTGGTCAAGGTGATTAGTTGACTGATTAAGTTGGCTTAGATCATCCATAGTTTGATACCTAGTTTCTGCTGTTTTTGAAAATACACTCTGTTTGACATTGATACTTAAATATTGAGTGTTGGACATTCTTTTGACATGGTGCAGAAAAAGCACTCTGAATCTGTTCTTGCAGACCTTGGGGATAGTGAGAAGATGAAGGAATCAGGATTTATAATTCCCCAGGACATACCTAGTCACAGCTGGATAAAACGTGGATTTGATGCTGCACCAAATCGATATGGTATAAAACCAGGAAGACATTGGGATGGGGTTGATCGAAGTAATGGTGAGTTCATATTTGAATCACTCTTTCTACTAACCAGAATGAAATCTTTAATGAACCTACTTCGCTGCCCCTTCTGATTGTTTTTTAGACCCATGCTAAACTATGATTAAGTTACAAGTGTGGGGAGTAAGGGGGTAACATGTTCCAAAACTACTAGTGTTTGCTAGAGTTTTAGTATCCAACATTCAATCACATGAGAGAGCCCCTCTTTTTTCGCTTTTCTATTTTTCCTATCGTGTGCATTCCGTCTATGCAAAGGACTTATTCTCCCTGTTGTAAAGCTGGCTTTATACATGCTTAAGATAATACAATTTTCTTTTACCAAAAAATATGTCAGGCACCTGGCCCAACTAGCTATAAGTATCATTTTGGTTTCTGATGTGTTGAGCCAGTCCTGGAGAGAATTCAATTTGTGTGTTGAATCTGATAATTCTGATGTCTGTGTCCTGTAGGATATGAGAAACAACTGTTCAAACGGATGAATGAGAAACAAGCGACAGAGAGGGAAGCCTATCTTTGGTCTGTTTCTGATATGTGACTGCTGTGGAGTATGATGGTAATTATGTTTCTTTAGACCTTTGGTGGCAGTTTTTCCTGATTGAGCTTCGTTTCATAGCGGCTTCTATTTGTGGGTGGAAATGAACTCATTAGAGTCAATTTCTAATTTAGATCTGGGAAGCAATGCGATTCCTATTAAGGTAACTTGAAGCTTCATTAGCAGCAAGTTTCTCTATATCATTATCATTTGTGAACTCTTGAGTCTATTTGTGCTCTGTTTGAGTGCTGGGTCACCATTATGGCAAGGCGCTATCACAAATTAAACATAAATTTTACAATTTAACATTTGTTTCTTCTCCTCAACCCTACTACTCTTTTTCCTTTTCCACGTGAGAATGATGTTCCTTTGGAGTAAATTTGTAGCACAGATTGATTAGATCGTAACTTTTTATTCATTGGTTCCTTTATTGCAAACAGGAACCAGATACAAGTTAATGAGTTACACAATGAGTTCAATTAATTAACTAATGGGAAAATTTTTCTTACCTGTGCCTTCCTCTGATATTTTGTCTGAGTTGAAAAAGTAATGAATCTTTCTGGTTGAATTCCACCGAGAAATTGGCTATATCTAATATTTGCAGTGCATTCGATTTTCAGCTAATGATGCAAGGGGAGCAACCGCTGTCTTTTTGCGCATCTATGTGAAGGTCCATATTCTCTAATCCCAAGAGTTTGAAGAGCTTGATGATACTTTCTATCTTTGTTTACACTAGGAATGCTAAAGCATGTTGGATTAGTAAAATCCGCAACAACTCTAGTTCAAGGGGGTCATGAACTGAGTTCTTGTTGAATCAGGTCCTCAGGCCTCAAGCATTGCCCAGTGTCCAGTGATCAATTGTGGCTTAGCCGTGCAAACCCTAATATTGTCATCAGGGAAAATTTTAATTGGCAAATGCGGTTGGCACTATTTCTAGGGCAAGGCACCAAGGCTTGTTGCCATATTAGGGGTTTACAAAGTAGACTTTAAGTTGCTCGAAGCTGCTTGTTTCATGTTGCCGAGCATACTTAATAGGGGAAAGAGAACAAGAAACAGTAGTAGATTTGATGGAAGTACATGCGAAAACCCTATGTTTGCTGCGAAACTGTCCTTTTTTTTTTTTTTTTTTCACAAGGGAATGCTTATTTAAAAAGGGCAAGATCAGTCCTCGTTATTGGAATTGCCAACTCTTGATCGCAATATATTATGATATGTAGCAAATCACCAACGGCATGGTCCTCCACAGGGAGACATTATTGGATTTTCCAATGTGTTATTCCTCCTCTCATGTGAAAGCGAGATGTATAGTTACCATGGTGGATAACTTTACAATTTTTTCATGGGAAAACTTATTGCTAACTCAGATTTTAAGATTTTAAATCATATACGGTTGAAAAATGATTGTGATTGTTTTTGTGGATTATGACTTATTATAATATTAAAATAATTATAAAGATATGTTTTGAAACCATTGTATAACAGTTGTTAAGGGTCATGTCTACATATGAAACAGGGGGGGGGGGAAGGAAGGAAAAGAAAAATTGATCCTGACGGATGACCACGTCACCCCCTGTGCCCCGCTTTGCCCTTGAATTTGACTCCTGGTTTAGTGGGAGAGTAAACTTGACATTAGTTGATAAACAGTTCAGAATGTTGAGCTCACAATTTGATTAAATTAGAAATTAGTCCCTAAATTTTTTTAGAAAGATATTAATTGGTCTTTTTCGTTTTGAAAATAAATTATTTACTTTTTTTATTTATTAATATTGACCATACTTACTTTAATAATATTAATTTATTTCAAATGTGCCATCTCATCAATCCTTACTAATTTATCTCAAAAAAAGTTATCTCCTCAATTCTTTCATATTATTTGCTCTTTTTTTTTTCTATTTTTTTTAGAACAAAAAATAAAAATAAATTGAAAAAAAAGGATTAAGTTACAAGAAAAATTAAAATTATAGGAATTAAATAACTAGTTTTTAAATAAAAAGGACCATTTAATTAGTTTCTCAAAACTAAATGGATTAATTTATCATTTACTCCTCAAAATTTGTTAGATTTTTGCTTTCCTTGTTTTGGAAACCTATGATGTGTTTCACAAACCAATCTCTAATATATGGAAGTTTTCTACAACAGCCTCAACGTATCATGGTGTTGACAAGGTGGTCTCTGGATTTAAAATATTAATAGCGAACTTTAAAAAATACGTGTAGTTATGTTTCAACCAAGCATTTTGAGATTTGATATTTCTCTAACCACAGCTGCGTTTGTAGTGTGCTATATGGTGTTGGAAAGATTATTCAACATAATTTCTAACCAGCCTATTAATCAAAATTGAATATTAAACATATGGGATTTATTAGTGTCGAAAATGAGCCCATTAACCATTTTTCAGAAACTTTGAATGGTCATGTCTCTCAACGTAGGTTTTTCAGTCTGAATTTCTTATAGAAAGTTACCCTCATCCATAATGATAACATAACGAAATATTTCAATCGTATTGTTAGAGAGATACTAATTTCTTATTAATGCAAATTATTTATATCCTCAAGCAAAGAAGAAAGAAGAAATTGAAGAGGCCACAAAATGCTTCAAAAGCATCCATTAAACAATATCCACGAGGAGAACTCTTTGTCGACAGAGAGTTGGCTATTCAAAAGTTTAATGGCAAAAACTACCCTTAAACTATTAGGTTATGGTAATTTAAAACCTATACTATCAATTTAGACTATTTAAATCTCAAATTATTATTTTTTGAACAAATGTTATCTTTCTTACGTTATCTTTAATGATCAAAACGTTAACTGAAAATGATTTAATAGTAAAATTTACCTCCAAACTATTGGAATTATGATAAAATAAGATTTATACTATCAATTTAAGCTATTTGAATCTCAAACTATTAATTTTTTTAATAAACTTTATCTATCTCCATTATTTCTAATAGTTAAAATATTAACCGTTAACCGAAATGCTTAAAACGATATTGTCTTAAGCATATTACATTTTTTTAACTATATAGATCCAATATACATCACTAATTATCTAACAACAACAAAAGATCGATAAAAAAAATAAAAATCAACTAGGCTATGTTAAAGCTAATTATTATTAAATATTTTTTTTGAAATTAATTTTAGTTCTTAAAAAAAATTTAAAAATTCATTTTCTTTTACTAGATAGATCCATTGCTTATCATTAATTATTCAACAACAAAAGTCAAATTCATAAACAATAAAATCATATAAGCTTCCTTAAATCTAACAAATATTAAAAAAAAAATTAATTTTAATTCTTAAAAAACAAAATGATCAATACTTTGGTTGTTAGAAATAATGAAAAATAATAAAGTTTATCCAAAGCTAATAGTTTAAAGTTTAAATAACTTAAGTTGATGATATAAATCTTATTTTCTTATTTTGTCACAATCCTAATAGTTTAGAATGAAATTTTATCATTAAATTATATTCCAATTAATATTTTGACCGTTAAAGATAACAAATGAAAGATAATATTTATTTAAAAATTAATAGTTTTGAGTTTAAATGGCCTAAATTGATAATATGAGTCTTAAATTATTGTAATGTAACAGTTTGAGGATAATTTTTGCCATAAATAGCCATTCAATCATTGAGAAAGGGTTAAGGGGCTCATTTTTGGGCTAACAAATCTTATATCCTTGAGATTTGGTTTTGACAACACTTTGTAGAATGCTAGAATAGAAGTTGTAGTTAGAGGGATACGGGATCTCAAAGTCGCTTGGTTGAAACACGAAACAGAAAGCCTGAAAATTGTTTAATTTCTTAAGAAGATCCTTTGTAAACCAAATTCATATAGCTTTTAACGTTGCTGCTAACATAGTACCACCTTGTTAAGACCAGGATAGATTGAGATAGTTATAGCAAAATTGCATAACGTTGAAGACTGATTTGGAAAACAAATCAAGGCTCGAGATGGATTTATAGCTGTCTCCTTTTTTTTTGAAAAAAAAAAAAATTCATATAAAGACGACTAAATTATAAATTAGTCCCTTTGATTTTGCAAATAATAACAACAACAACAATAAGGTTTTTTTTTTTAGTTTTAAAATCTAATTAATTCATTTTTTTCGTCCATTTCATTTTTTTTATTAAGAAATAAAAAGATAAAAAATAACTAGCTATTATGAAAAACTTAATGAGAAAATAAGATTTTTTAAGAATAAATTAATATTAAATTAACAATGGCCAACACTATAAAAGAAACTAATTAATTAATTTTTTAAACTAAAAAGGCTATTTAATTTTTTTTTAAAAAAACTAAAAGAATTAATTTATATTTTATTATCCTAAAAACATACATATATCATTTAAGTTTCTTTTCCAAAGGAAAATTCTATGCGTCCTAGATATTGAGAGAGAGCGAGAGAGAAAAAATGTTTATATGTGAGTTTAAAATTGGTAAAAACCAATACCAAAATAATTTATATTTCATCTATAATACGCATTATTAAATGTCTTTCTAAGCTTTTAAGACTCTAATTTACTTAAGCAAAAGCATGAGTGTAAACAACTAGTTTATGAACGTAAACATGTTATTGCCAGGTTAAGTTTGGAATGAATTTTGAAATCATTAACTCAAAAATTATCCTTTTGTAGTCTATATAGAAAAACAAAAGACATCAATTTCAATTTAAATCGTACCTATATCTGATTATTATTATTTATAAATCCAGACATGATTTAATATTATTTATAGTAACAATTTTTTGTTGAAATGCTTTCAACAGCCATGAAACCGTTAAGGAAAACTTTGAACTATTTCGAAAAAAAAAACTAAATGTTTCGTGAATTTCTTTACTACCATAAAGGATAGTCTACCATAATTCAAATTGGAGGAATACAAATATCCTTAATATACAAAAGGTATCAGTAAAGGATACAAAAAGACAAAAAACCAACTAAGGGGGAAAAAAAAAAAAAAATTTACCCACAAAATCTCCTCCAACAAATGTTCAGATCCCCCTTCTCTTCTTTTTTTGCACATATATACCCTCACACCCCAGACGGACACAGGCAATGGTTGGAGACTCACCATTCGACCCATACCTCAATCCTCAAGACTTAAAGACTTTTCCTTTCCCGCCAGAATACAGAAACAAAATGATTATAAAAGATAGATACTACAAACCCTCACTTTCTCTCAACAAATTCCTAAAATCCCAGAAAAACCTCTCTAAAACCCCACCAAAACTCTTCCCTAATGACCCAAAACCCCAACAATTGACACACACTATTAGAAACAACCCAAATGCACCCATATTAGATCTCAATCACCCCATTTTGCAAAAACTGGAAAAATCGTGTACTAATATCAAACAATTCAACCAAATCCACGCTCAACTTATAGTTCTAGGCCATTTTCAACACCCTTTCGCCGCTAGTCGTTACATAAAGAAGCTCTGTACTTGTTTAAACTCAGTTTCTCATTGTGTTTCTCTGTATAATCACATTGAAGAACCTGATGCTTTTATGTGTAATATCATAATGAGAAGTTTTGTGAATGTGAATGACCCTTTTGGTGCCTTGAGATTTTATTATGGAAAAATGATTGCTAGGTGGGTTTTGCCTAATCATTACACATTTCCTCTTGTTGTCAAGGTTTGTGCCGATATTGGGTCTTTGAGAGAAGGCCAAAAGGTTCATGCTTTAGTGGTGAAATTTGGGTTTGAGTTGGATTTGTTTGTGAGGAATTCTTTTATACATTTTTACTCTGTTTGTGGGAGGGCTTCGGATGCGAAGCTAGTGTTTGATATTGGTTTTGTGTTGGATTTGGTGAGTTGGAATTCGATGATTGATGGTCATGTGAAGAATGGGGAGGTGGGTCTTGCGCGTGAAATCTTCGACGAAATGTCTGAGAGAGATATTTTCAGTTGGAATTCAATGATTTCTGGGTATGTGGGAGTTGGAGATATGGAGGCGGCTAGAGGATTGTTTGAGAAAATGCCATCCAGAGATGTTGTGTCTTGGAATTGCATGATTGATGGGTATGCAAGGATAAAAGATGTTTCAATGGCTGCTGAGTTTTTTGATAAGATGCCTTTGAGGAATGTGGTTTCTTGGAATGTTATGTTGGCTCTTTATCTGAGGTGCAAGAAGTATAGTGAGTGTTTGAGATTTTTTGACCTGATGCTGGTTGGGGACTCTATGCCCAATGAAGCATCTCTTGTAAGTGTCTTGACTGCATGTGCGGAATTGAAAATGCTTGGTCAAGGAAAATGGGTTCATTCTTATATGAAGGAAAAAGGGATTAAGCCTGATGTGCTACTCTCAACTGCTCTATTGACCATGTATGCAAAATGCAGAGCAATGGATTTGGCTAGAGAAGTTTTTGATGAGATGCCTGAAAAAAGTGTTGTATCATGGAATTCTATGATCGTTGGATATGGTATGCATGGATGTGGAGACAAAGCTCTAGAAATGTTTTTGGAGATGGAGAAGGGAGGTCCTATGCCAAATGATGCTACTTTTATGAGTGTTTTGTCTGCATGTTCACATTCAGGGATGGTTTGGAAGGGTTGGTGGTACTTTGATCTAATGCATAGAAAATATAAGATTCAACCAAAGCCTGAGCACTATGGTTTGCTGGTTGATCTCCTTGGTCAGGCAGGTTTGATAGAACCATCAGAAGAGCTCCCAAGGAAGATACATACAGAGGCAGAGCCTACTTTGTGGGTAGGTCTTCTTTCAGCTTGTAGAGCCCACTCTATTTTGGAGCCTGGAGAGATCTTGGCCAAGCAACTGATTAAGTTGTTTCCAAATCATGCTGTTCCATATTCGTTATTATCAAACACCTATGCTGCTGAAGGGAGGTGGGATGATTTAGAAAATTTGAGAATGACTCTGAAGAATAAGACTATTAATTCAAAATTGGTTTTCACTAGAAGGAGGCACTCAATGTCAAGGGAGACGGCTGCACGGATGAAATGGTCTGATACAGATTCTGGTATTGAAACTTGGCCGTAATGGTTAGCAAGTTTTCAAAGTAGACACCATTTCAATTGGAGATGTACATTTCTGACAAAATTGTTGGAAAGTGAAATAAGGATGTCTTTCGGAGGTCAAGTGTGAATTCCAGGAAACAACTGGACTCAAGGTGAGGGGCGAACTTGTTCAAACAGCATATTTTCCCGGAGATAGCACCTTGTGACAGATTGAAGATACCACATCCAGCTGCAACTTGTTAAGATAAGGTCACTCTGATTAGTGGCTGAAGAGGTGTGTTGAAACTGTTTTCTTTTATATTCAAGTCTGAACTCTGAATCCATGATAAGCTGATAGCAAATTTGTTTTCCACGAATGTAGCATGCCATTAACGTTTTTCCATGGTTTTGATGACAAACTCAGCATTGAATATACTTCATTGTTTCATTATCTTATAGTCCCACTATTCTGCTCAATCCATGTCCATGTTTACTTTTATAGTTTACCTATACATCGTGGGAATATTATCAGGGTGTTTTTATATTTTTTTGATTTATCAGAACATGTATTTAACTCCTGAATAGAAACTTTGTCGGGATAAGTTAAAATTTTCTTCTTGTGAATCGTAGCTTTTTTTATTGGAGTAAATTATAAATTAGTCCTCTCGTTTTGAGAAACGAATTAATTAGTTCCCTCATTTCAAAAACTAATCATTTTGTCCCTCACCATTAAGTTGTTGCTGGATCTGTCAAATTAATACTTACTACCTAAAAATACCCTTTAAAATGACATACCAAGAACTTAACTGGCGAGGAAGAAGAGATGCACCGATTTCTCTCCATTAACATTTGCAATTCAGGTTTTAATATAACCATGCTGATGGTACCTCATCATTTCAAGAGGGCATACATTTGAATGGTTGTAATTTCACTTTGCAGGTTTTAGTGATACAATCTATATGATGAGTTTGATTATTCTTCCATGAAGGTGGTTGTCCTGTGATTCGTGGTAATAAGTGTTCATCAAACAAATGGATCTGTGTGAAAGAGTACGAGGTAATAAATGAAGCTTCTGTGCATTTCCTTTTCTTTTTGGGTTGGGACAGGGATGCATTTGATCAGCCCACAAATTGTTCTTGATAAGCTCTACATTTTCTGCCATAATCTTAGCCTGGTTCAGTATGATGTGTCTCTTGGGTTATAACCTGTGACTAACCAAACAAAGGACCTTTGTTGATTTAGGAAGGTAGAGTTTGCTGCCTAATTCTTGAGCCATTTAGCCTCCCTTTTTTGCTGTTGGATTCATTCCGAAAGCTTAATGGGGTAGATTGTGTTTGTCAAGACGGAAAGTGATATGTGAAAGAGAGTTTTTAGAAAAGCTTGATGGTGGGTTTAGCTTTATTATGATGATGGAGATGGTTGAGGACAGAGAAAGGAAGTGGGTGAAGGAGAGAAATAAGGCACTAAAGAAAGGGCAATTTGGGAACAAAAAAGACTGCAGTAAGGACACCTCATCACTACTCTAACGGAAAACTGATGAAAGGACTAAGTTATTAATGGAATTAAAACGTAGAGAACTAAATGATTATTTTTTGAAACAAGGAGGATTAATTAATTCATTTCTTGAAACTAGAGGGACTAATTTATAAATTGCTCTTTTGATTGTGAAACATATCTGTTAAATACAATGTTTGGTCATTGGTGCATTTGAACCAGCTCTTTACATTGCTATCAGTCCTTGTGTCTAGTTCAATAGAGCTGTTGGACATTTGAGTTGGATCCAGAACTGCTTAGATCTGACCTGGCTCAGATTACTTGAATTAGAAAGGATAATACCAGCGATATCATAAAGTGGGGTAATATCTGTCAACTTAAGTTTCAAACTAACAGATATGTGGAGTCTTCATCTCCTATGCAACTCATTATCGATATCTGTTAGGGAAAGTGGTTAACTTTAGCTTTAAAATTGTATACTCAGTTGATTCTGAACGCTAATTTCACTCAAAAGGGTTCTGTGGGTCAGAAAACTATCCAATATTTAAAGGCCTTCATTGCTGTTGTTAATACTAGGTGACCGTAGCATGGTTAAAGTTAGATTTGGCTGATGTAGTCCAATCTATCACTTGTATGCATGAAATTTTGGGTAGCACGTGAAACAATCATGAGACAATCTCAGAATATCACTTCCATGTTTTAAAAAGTAGGCATAAACTTCATTACATGCTTCTGTCAATTCATATGTAAACTAAAGAAAACTGTGGAAAAAGAGTTGTTTGTTCTTTTTCAAACTTGAAGCAGTAATATTCAGGATTGTGACGAGGTTGTTTTACATGTTAATGGAACAGAAGAGCTCCTGCAAAACCAGTAATAGATTGAGCTATTCTAGCCAATTTTGACTTCCTTTCTGCAAGAATGGCATTATATTAGCAATAGCAATGGAGGCCGTAAGGTCATTCTCTCACTAACAGGATCTCTAGTTTGAAATTTCGTTTGTTTTGAAGTCAACTGAACATATATTTGGTCTTAGATCACTTTTTCTAACAGATACAGATGAGTTACATGAGAGTAAACTCTCCACTTAAAAGGTTATCTCTTCTGCAAATTTCTAGGATACGGATTTAGTAGCATTCTGAAAGTGGCGTGTAGATTTACAGGATTTTAAGTGCATGCTACAAAACTTTGAATCTTTAAGTGAAAGAGGCATTATGAGAGGAAAACCAAAATTCTTGTCTATTTATCTATAACTTTTTTTTTTATTCTGTAACCAAATTGAAGTATTCAATACTAACATGACATCATGTCATTGTTGCAAGGATTCCAAGGTGATTGCATCATGTGTGGAATTTTAGCCAAATATGCTGGTTGATGCTGCTAATCTCTGATTATGGAAGAATGACGAGTCAATTAGTACAATCAGGTTAGGTTGCCAACATCAGCTGGTTTTCTCTTTATATATAATACACAGTACCTGCGTGGTAATTGTTAGATGGAACAAGGAAGTGTTGAACTTCAGTTTTGTAAATGTCTTGAGGAATTTTTGCTCCTTCTCTTGCACCCTTCTAGTGCGGTGATAAATAGTGTAGAAGTTGGAAATTTTATTCGTTAGTAACTCTGCTATGCACCAAGTATATAAATACGTAAGCATATCTAAAGGGACAAGTGGAGTCTTTTCCTTTATTTAAACTAGTGAATTTGACTAGTAGCAGACATTCTGGCTAAAGTTAAGGTGGAAAGTAAAGATAACCAAAGTTTCAAATTTTATTAGCATACCTGGAATTTTATAGTCAACATTAAAATGATTACTTTCATTAATTTCTCTTATTAGACTCTATACCCATATACAAAGGGTAAAGATAAAATAATAAATAAAAAGAACAGCTGGAAGCTTATTTGGATATCTGCTTCCCATGACTTTACGAGTTCACTTGTACTCCTGTATCATATGTTTGTCCAGCTTTCCAGTCATTAGGTATGTTGTTGACTGGAACTACCCATGTCTCATCTCCATCCTCATCAGTAAATAACATTCTAAGTGACAAGGGTCCACTGGGGGGTGAGGTAGTTGTCCATACAGCTCCATAGCTTCTGTCCAAGAGCTTGCATACAAAATTTTGTGTCTGCAAATATAAAATTTTTGTTAATAATAGTTTCAGTGACTCAGATAACATGTAAAATTTGGATTTTTTTTTGAAAATTTTTTTTTGCTTTTATACAATGAGCTAGAGAGTAGTTGCTGCTTTTACTTTCTTTATTTTCTGTTTCTTTTTCCTGTGTTATATCAGCTAATATTCTCTTTGCCATCATCATTGACTAAGCATATTTAAAATTGCATTTTAACTCCGTTGGTGACACATAGTTCACATGAAGCTGAATACAAATCAAGTGATTGCAAAGTAAATCATTTTGAAGATTAAAAAGTGCATTTAATATTACATGCAGTGCATATTACCTCACATAGCTGAACAGCAGTGATATCCCTCCTTCCTTGTTGATGCCAAATGACAAAACCCAAATAGTAAGGGTAGTTGCTGTTCTCATCGATTTTGATGGTTATGTTTTTGTTTGGATAGCTGCATGAAACACTGCATGGAGAAAGAGTTCATTTATTCCACAGCAAATGACAAACCTTCGCAAAATAGAGGGCAGGAGAAGTTTTCATCGGCAAAACAAAGGAATAGCCATGGGAGCATATTTGGTAATAATGATGCATAATAACCGTTCTATTTTAAGTTTTTATTTTAGGGCTATCTTTTGGGAGATTATTTGAAATGCTGGCCATGCTGATGGTTAAAACCAATATACCTTTTTTTCCTCACCCTAATAAAAGTATAGTCTTTGACTCTTTGTTTGAGTCATTCTTAAACTTTCTTTTTACCTGTCTCTTGTGAATGAAAAAATAAGAGGTCTTTTGCGGCAAGTCATAATGGGTATAATCTTACCGTCTATATTCAACATCAACTACTCCAAGGGCTAATAAAGATGCGGCCACATATGTGGTTTGAGCCATCCGACCAAAGGCCCTTCTGCTGAGAATAAAGTCGGTGTTATGACTCGATCCTTGGTCGGTTACAACAACGGTCACTCCTTTGTCCGTGCAATAGTAACTGTTGGTGCACCTTACCTGGTTCAGTAAATCATTATGGTGAGTATTCAACACATAAGGAGAACCAATATCAGAATCAGGCTATGTAATGCTATAGCAGGAAAAAAAAACGTTGGTTTGCAATTATTATTATTATTAATATTTTGGTTACAAGTTGATTTGAAATTATGATGCTTTAATTGGTACCTGGTAGCAAGCACCACAGCCAACACCATCACGGTAGAGGTCAGATACAGTTGATACATCCCCATCATTCAGTGTTGCTCCAAATGAACCATATCCACATCTGCCTGCTGCAATTCATAAGAAGAAACTCATAAGAATGCATGCTCAATTGGTAGGGAGTGCATGGTTAATGTAATTGTTTTTAATCTTTTTAATATTTTATTAGAGGTCTCTTACTATTTGTTCCATTTGCATCAGAATTTGGATAGTAAGCTGCCCTAGAATGAATGAAACAGTCGCTACAAGCTGCAGCCTCTGCCGCAGTCTGCATAAAGAGCAAAGTTCCTGAAAGGAACAAAAGGAACTGCAGAGAAGGAGCCATTATCGGATTCTAAGAGAAAAGACTATAAAAGCAAAGAAGACAAGGTGGTAATGCATGAAATGAACAAGGTTTGTAGTATTTATAGCAAAACAAACCGCCCATATTCTTTAGTTTGGTAAGCTTTTCCAAGTTTGACATTGGGATAAACAGTATTTTCAATGAGTGGAATTCTGTTACGGTTGTTTCCAGGCTACCTTCCAAAAATATAGAAAACCGCAAACTCTCCTTTCAAACTCTATAGCACTTTTCCTTTCCTTGTTGAAGTCTTTGGTGTTAGCTAAAAAGTCTTTTTCCTGTTTTTTTTTCCCCGTAATTTCACTCTACGAAATCTAGCGGTTTTTACTGTTGTCCTATCAAAAGCATCTTAGAGATGTACATTCGTGGAAACATATGTTGGCTGATTCGCACCTACAAGCTGCTGGACCATGATGGGTGATGGGAGAGGGACTAAGAGAGATAGGTAGGCTGGATTTGAAGGATTGGATACTTTAAACAAATTGGCTTGAAAGATTAGTAAAATGGAGGGGACAGTTAGGTTAGGTGCATTTCCACCAAAGAAACATTGGGTTAGGCATCTATTTATGTTCTCTCTAGTTATTATAACACCGGCTTTGATTTCTTTGAGTAGGGAAATTCTTATTTAACGAACAAATAATGAATGTTGGTAAACCGAAAAGGGTGTCTTGCATGGAAGCAAGTTTGAGCAATAACAAATTCTACCGAAAACATTGAACTTGTACCATAAAATGTGAAGGGAAGACGATTGAAATTGGCCGGCAAACTATGGTAGATAGAAGTCACTTTTTAAAGCGTTCAAAAGAATACAACAGCATTATCTTGGAGAGAAGTCAAAATTTGATTTCAGTTCATCCTCAGTTTTACTAATTGTAATTGATTTACCAAGCCCTGATATTCTAGTTGCGTTTCTTAAGAAGTTGACTGGACATTTCTTGACAGGCTACAGAAGATGCGTAACCAGCACGCCGTGGCAGGCTGGCTGGAAGGGAAGGGAGTGTACAGAACCACATCAGCCATGACATGGAAAGCACTAGTTTCAGCAAGCAAGCGTAAAATTCACCCAAAAGGTTTTAAAACATTTGTGTAGTGTAGCTCCTTTCCAGGGGCATGTAGCAATCAACAAGCTAGTGTTGGATGGACCCCTGATCTTATACATGACATGAGAACTACAAGTCCCCCCAGCGTATTCCACAAGTCTAATGACTAGGTTGCATAGGTCAGATGCAATCATGAAACCATGTTGGAGCCCTTGAAGTTTTTCATTGGAATTCCAAACCTTTTGTTTTGTTTAAACATTAGTGATCGTCCCACTAGCCTCAGGACTCATATCTTAAGCAATATATAGTACTTGGTATGTTTCGGAGCTACTGCCATCTTTCCTTCTCTTTTCTTTCGCGCATTGCCCTCTGTTTTTCCCTATAAAGAGGTGGTGAGACTTGGAAAAGGAAAGCTTCGTCCTCGAGAATCTGGACAGGTTTGCTAAATTTAGCCTACTTCACCAGGGTCCAACTGAGTGGATTTAATATGACAGTCGGCCCATTGGTATTTGGGCTGCATGCAATGGCAAAACAAGTACTGGATTAGAGCCTAAATATAAATTATCTATTAGTAAAATTTTGGGTTAATACCCTACCTGTGTTTATACAATAAAAACATTTAAGATTAAATAGGTTAAAAATATTTTTAATTTTTATTTTAAAAAATATAATTAATAGTAAAATATTAAAATGATGTCTTTTAAACATTTCAAGTAACGATTAATTCGGTTGATTGTTATATATAATGACAATTAAGGAAATAGAAATAATTTTTTTAAAAAAATCAATAATTTAAAATGATCTTAAAATTATCAAATTATAATAGAATATGAATAAAATTTATCATTAAACCCATTATATAAGAATAGAGCAGGACATTAATCCAAAATTTTTGGGATTACAAGCCCTTGCGCAAACCTTCACAGTGATATGATTTCTGTACTGGACAGCATCATTATGTCACTTGAATTTGACCTAAAAGCACAAGCAATTTCCAAGAAAAGATGTGTGTCTATCAACAATGATGCAAGAAATGAGTTGGTTCATGAACCGTATCTACTCTTGGAAAATTTTCAGGAACTGCTAATAAATTATTTTGTTTCTTCTAACCACGGCGTCAATGCTCGTCTCGTGTAAAGCAGAGACGCCAAAGTAGCCCAACTTTCAGAGACTAACCGGGGCTTTCCAAGACCAGACTACCAGCCAATAGAGGCACTTATTTTTGCCTAAGGATTTGAAAATTAAAAGATTCCAATTATATGAAATTCCAACTGAGAAAAGAACAGTAGAAAAACATTAATAGTTTTTTATATGTCGGTAAATTAAGTATTAAAAAAAGATAAGGAGATAGATGTGCTAGTTCTCTGGCTTATGCATTTTATTAATCTCAAGAAAACAATCCATTTGATTGTGATTGGACTAAGCTGTTTCATATTTATAATTTGAGTAATTTTGCACACAACTTAGTAAATTATAATTAATTTAGTCTGACTTGCAAAACATATAACATAAATTTTAATACATATCATTCAAATTAGAGATATAAAATTAAATTGTCTTCCAACATTTATGGCAGAAAGCATTTAGAAATTCAAAATCAACTCTTGGCACTATTTTTTTTTTATGAGCATGATTAAAGATTAAAACATTATTGTTGGAGGATTCTTTCATATGATTTAGAAAATCAATAAGAGTTCTATAAATCACTTTGTTTTAATAACTTAGTGTTATTACTAGCCAGTGGAACTTCAAAATTGGAGTAAAGGAAGTCTCATTAACTTTTTTTTTTAATCTCAATGGATCTATAATTCAATTTTATTAAAACCTTGTTTCAAGGATACTGACAAATCATTAACATCATAAACATGTTTAATTTGTTTCCACAAATAATAAAGAATTCTTTCTAAATAATTCATATAGCTTTTTTTAATTGAAATTTAACATAAGCTAGTAAAATAAGCAAGCTATAAATAAAATAAAATAATTAAAGATACAGAAGCAAGCTAGATAGACGACAACTGTGTTCCTTCCAGGTGGGCAGATCTACGTCCCAAATTTCTGGAAAAAGTTAAAAGCGTGGCCCTCAATTTTAGACTTTTTTTTTTTTTATTCTTTCAAAAAAAGAAAAAGAAAAAGAAAAAGAAAAGAGAGAAGGAAGGAAGAGAGAGAGAGAGAGAGAGAGAATCGATGCTGTCCAAAAATACAAAAATCCCCAACAGATAACTTTTGAGTAAATTATAAACTAGTACCTTTAGTTTTAATAAATGAATTGATTCATCCTCCTTGTTTTAAAACTTATTATTTAATCACCTATCCAGCGTTGAATATATTTAATTTAATATTATTTTTATTCTATAAATGTTTTCTTTCTCTCAATGTTCTATAATTATTTTATATATTTAAAATAAAAAAGTTATAAATAAATATAAAAATTAAATAATTAATTTTTCAAATAAAAGAAATAAATTAATTTGAAATGAACTGTGCTAATTTAATTTACCCGATAACTTTTTGGCTACCAGATTCCTCTAGTTTCATTTATTCATTAAAGGTCCACAATTTTTTTTGTATTTAATATTGTCAATCCTTTTATTTTTTTAATAGCCTCTTAACAAAATTGACTTTGATATAAAAATTAACATTGATATTTAATTACATTAAGTTAGTCCATTATCCTCTCGATTTCAGGCAAGTCGCTAGAGATTGATGTTTGAAATTTAATTATCGAATAGCAAAAAAATATTTATTTTGATATTTGAAGTTTTGATATATTTAAATATCTAAGTAATTTTTATAAAAATACATTTTATAAGATGTCTTTTACATACAGTTTTAATATTTTTAACAATTATAATTATGAAATATTCTTGTATTAACATTTTCTATAAAGATCGAATTGTATCTAAATAATGCCCATTTTATTGAAAAATATTGCTTGTTCGAATTAAAAAATAATATGTTTTGAAAAATGATTAAAAATTAATATGTTTTGACTAATGATTCCAAACATAAATCAAATCAGGTACTATAATTATATCTAATTAACTTATGTTAAAAATTTTCAAACATTGCATCTTAAAAATTTCAACCATTAGCTTAATGGATCCATTCATTGATGCATGAAATTTTTCTTCAAGTGACTTGAAGATGAATATTTGGTAAAAATTGATTTTAATCGTATTATTTGTTAATTGCCTATTATCAAAAGAGAGAGAGAGGGAGATGAATCAATATTTGTAGAAAACTTGGGGTGCTATAATAGTAATAATAAAAATAATAGTGATAGCGATTTGGGTGGCGTGGGCTAATAAAAACAGAGAACAATGGCATATGAGCGATGACGCGCAAGTAGCCAACTGGAATCTTTCACCTCCAAACGATTGATTCTCTTTCAGATTCTATTTGAAGTCATTTTAACCGTCCTTTGCTCTCTCCTTCCTTCCGTGCCCGTTTCGTAAATCATAATATTCATTCATAAACAACCCATTGTTTTTTTTAAGATAAAAAAGACCAGAGGCTTCCCTTATTTCCTGTCTCTTTTAGCCATCCAAACATGACGGTTTCTTCTACAGAAAACACTGTCGATGCGTGAGTTTTTGTCATCTCATTTTTTTTTTTTTTTTATATTTGCATGCTATTGGGTTCTTTTTAATTTTTGGATTTGCATACAAAGATTATTATTTTATGGCTGTTCATCTCTTTTATTTTGTTCTTTGATGTTTTTTTTTCCTTGGAAGTTATGATCGCTCTAGATATCTTCCTGGTTCTGTTGGACTCGATTTTCGTAGTTATTTTTTTTTATCATTTTAGAATTTCCCATCATAAATGTATTAATTCGGTAACAGAAAAATCCAAAAGTCGTTATTTTTAGTATTTTTTCTGTGATCTGCTAGCAATGTTTAACTCATCGAAAAGGATGAGAGAAATTGTCTTTTCTTGATCATTAATTTATTTTAATCGAAAATAGGTTGGAAGTATGATGATTGAAAGTCATGCTTGTTCACTGCGCTAATGTTTAAGAAGATGTGTTAAAAGGTTAAGGCTGAAATGTCAAAAATGTGCAACATTAAGTTTAGCAGCCTAGCTTCCGTTCTAAAATACTATTGTATTAAGTAATTGATCCAAACTTAAGTGTATTTAGGGTATAACTTATCGAAGTTGAGCATTGTATGCAATTTGTTAAATTGTATCCACATCTTGATTTTTAATTTAGGCATGCCGTTTTCAGCCTAAGCTTTTAACAGTTAGCTGGTTTGAACAAGTAGATGATGTGCTAGTTAGCTGGTTTTATACGTTTCCTGTGCTTTTGATCTTCATTTTTTATGGAAACATGAGTGTTGTTCCGCTGATAGCAATTTGTGCTGAAAGTTAGGATATTACTGAGGAGAATCAACACTAGTCTTTCGAAAGTATTCGGTTCCTCCCACTATAACTTATCTGGAATTGTGGCAATTAATGCTTGTAGTGAGAGCTTTTAAATTTTACTTTGGAAATGGAAGTTGAGTTGCTGCAAGTAAATGTACCGTTATCGCTTCAAAGTGTCAGGAGTCATCATCTATTGGTTTTAGGGTTGGGCTATGCCATTATGTTACTATCATAGAGATATACCTGATGAAAACAAACCGAAGTGGACAAGTTTATTTCTTTTGTCCCTTTATCAAATCATGTAATAGTGGAAGAAAATGAATCAAATTGAATGACAAAAAAAAAAAAAAGTGACTCAATCTAGTGGCAAAGTGGTTTTGACACTGGTTCTTGATGCAATTTTGATGCTGAAGTAGCTGCTGCTAAGCTGGTGGCAGGCTTGTCATTAATAAAGATTTGTATTGTTTTTGGTTTGGGATTCTTTATTATTAGATCATACTCTCATGTTATTGTCTTTAATTTTTGGATGCAGTAAATTTTCTCTATCCAGGCTTGCTCCATTGGAAGCGGTGCTATTTGATGTTGATGGGACTCTATGTGATTCAGATCCCCTCCACTACTATGCCTTCCGAGAAATGCTTCAAGAGGTAATGCTTCTATGCAGCAAATTCAGGTCTTGATTGTGTTGTGATCTTAATGTGTCTTCCGCACATATGCATTGCACCATGTAAAAGTGTGAGAGGAGATGTCCTTTCCTTGACATGGTGAATATCTTGAATCATCTTGTCTAATTGATAGAGATATTGACCTATCTATCAGGTGAGCTATACTTTTTTAAATTTAATCCATATTGGAGAATTAATCACGTTGCATTGTCCAACAGATAAATTTCAATGATGGGGTCCCAATTACGGAAGAATTCTTTGTTAAGAATATTGCAGGCAAGCATAATGAGGATATTGCCTTGGTGCTCTTTCCTGATGATCTCCAACGAGGCTTGAAATTCACAGCGGATAAAGAAGCCATGTTTAGAAGGTAGATCACCTACTACTTCACCTCCTTTATTGAGATTTTATCTTGGTCCAATCTTATAACTTCTTCTATGGGAATTGGGAAACAGATTGGCATCTGAGCAACTGAAGCCTGTAAATGGCCTATATAAATTGACGAAATGGGTTGAAGATCATGGACTGAAACGTGCTGCAGTTACTAATGCTCCAAGAGAAAACGCTGAACTCATGATCTCACTTCTGGGCCTCTCAGATTTTTTTGATGCTGTTATCATTGGAGATGATTGTGAACATGCCAAACCACACCCAGAACCCTACTTGAAGGCTCTTGAAGTACTCAATGTCTCAAAGGACCACACCTTTGTGTGCGAGGTAGGCCTTCTTCCTAGCAGCGTTAGTTTCTAAGTTTCTGAAGCTTGCGAGATTTTCCTAAAATTTTGTTCTGTTTATCCTTGGTTAGGATTCTGTTTCAGGCATAAAAGCTGGAGTGGCAGCTGGGATTCCTGTTGTTGGTATAACTACCAGAAATCCAGAACATCTATTGATGGAGGCAAAGCCTGCACTTATTATAAAGGATTATGAAGATCAAAAGTTGTGGACAGCTCTGGAAGAACTTGATAAGCAGGCAGCTGCTGTAAAACCTGCTGCTTGAATAATTTCCTTGATAACTAGGACGACTATGATTTATCTTACTAATTCTTTTCCATAACAACTTCTGTATCTTCCCCCCAGAAGCTGCTTGTGGTTTGGGAAAAAAAAAAACAAATGGAATCTTAAGTATTCAATAATCGCTGTGTAATCTAAAAACAAAGTTATTTTTTATCATTATGATGATGATGATGATGATAATGCATTTTCTGATAATTACTACTATATGGAACTCTCTGTAACTTTCGAATCCATGTCTTTGCAAATACACCCTTAAAATAAATAAATGAAGTTAAAAAACAGAAGAAACAGGAAATACTGAAATACTAGAAAAAGAAAGTTTTAAATATGTGAATACCTCTGTGGAGGCCCGTGATTTAGTAGACTATATTACTGGAACCACGAAATGCATAAGCCAAAGAAGTTAAAAAAAAAAAAAAATGGAATGCACTTTGTGTGCCACTTGCTCACATGCACAGCACCATACGGTCAAAGAAAAGAAAAGAAAAGAAGGCATTGAACTAGCCCCGCATCTTTTGCTCCCCTTTTATAGATTCTCTTCTTTGGTTCTCATCAAATATCCTCCACTCTTGGACATCTTTTCAATCCCTACTTGAAGAAGAAAAAGCTTTCTCAAAGAGTGCTGTGCAGACCCCTTTGCTACTTGCAGCCTCACATAAGCAATGACAGTTTCTTCCGGTGCAAACTCAGTTGAGAGGTATTCTTGTAGTCCCTTTTTGTGCTTGATCTTTTTTTTTCCAAGTTTAAATATTGATCCTTTACATCAATTTGACTGTCTATGGATATTTAAAAAGCACAAAAGTTTTACTGCCTGTGATTCTCTGTCTCAATTCATTCTGTCTTGTTCTCTATCCGGTTAACAGTTCTGTTAAATGGCTCTACACCCGGTGTTTTGTTTGTGTTTTAATTACATATCATTCAGGGAGAGATTTTAGCCGAGATTAGCGAAAACGTTAGCATAAAGCTTCAGATTTGAGAATAAAAAATCTAATGAATCCATCGGATCAAGTGTTGCTGAATGTTTGATAGCTGAAAACACATCCCTTCTCTTTAATAAATGTAATACAAATTTTAAACGGATGGTAATTATGAGGGTGTAAATGATGCTTCTAAAAGGCTTGAAACAAAAACCAGATTCAATGAAAGAGTTACATTAGGCTGAAGTTCAAACATCTCAGCTTTTTGTGGAAAATAGTTTAGGCCTCGGAGGAAAAAATGGATAAAGGTGAATGGAAGAACTAATTAACCAAGTTACTGCACATGATATGATAAGCAAATGTAATACGCGAAGTTGGTGGTTAAGCAATCTGGGACACGACTCACGAGCCACGGTGATTGATGGTCTTGATTCAACTGTCTTCGTTTTCTGGATGCAGAAGAAGTTTTCTTTCTGGACTTGCTCCACTGGAAGCTGTATTATTTGATGTTGATGGAACTCTATGTGATTCTGATCCCCTTCACTATTTTACCTTCCGAGAAATGCTTCAAGAGGTAATTTGTTTAATGAACAGACACATTGTTTCTGATCAATCATCGATGATCAAATTAGTCAAGTTACAGAAAATGAAGAGGATTAACCAACCTTTTGGTTTTTACTAGATAAATTTCAACGGAGGGGTTCCCATCACCGAGAAGTTCTTTTCTGAGAAACTTTCTGGCAAGCATAATGAAGATATGGCCTTGGTTCTTTTCCCCAATGACATTGAAGGAGGCATGAAATTTCTTGCTGATAAGGAAGCCATGTTTCGGAGGTAAAATGCCAATGTTATTATATAATTAGTTCTTTGAAGAGCTGACAATGGAATTTCTCCAATGGAAAAAACAGATTGGCCCCGGAAAGATTGAAGGCTGTAAATGGCTTATACAAAATGAAGAAATGGGTTGAAGATCGCGGCTTGAAACGGGCTGCAGTTACTAATGCTCCAAGAGAGAATGCTGAACTCATAATATCGATTCTAGGGCTCGCAGATTTCTTTGAAGCTCTTATAATAGGGAATGATTGTGAACATCCAAAACCACACCCGGACCCTTACTTGAAGGCTCTTGAAGCAGTCAAGGTGTCAAAGGATCACACTTTTGTATTTGAGGTATCCCTTCTAATTCCCTGCCCTTGTACACAGAAATTGCTTAAAGTCATTAGTCTTTCGTGAAATCTGATGCTTTGCTTTTCTGGCTTTAACTTGGACAGGATTCTGTTACAGGGATAAGAGCCGGAGTGGCAGCTGGGTTGCAAGTTGTTGGGTTAACTACAGGAAACCCAGAGCACGCAATGATGGAAGCAAATCCTGCCTTTCTCATAAAGGATTATAATGATCCGAAACTGTGGGCAGCTCTGGAAGAGCTTGATGATAATGAGAAAGCAGGAAAAGCTGTAGCTTGAATAATTCCTCCACTATTGCTGCTTAACCTGTAACAAATGCTCTCTGCTTGAATAAGGATTACGATTTACCTGAATAATTATAAGCTAATAAGGATTAATCAAGGGTTCGCATTGTTATTTAATCCAAGCTTTTGTGCCTACTGTTGTAGAATCGTATCTGGAAGAAAAGAAACAGATAAAATGGTAAATCATGTGTTGGGAATGATGGAGTGTCAGCTAGAGTAAATTTACATGCACAGGAAGGAGCAAAAGTATATTACAGAATCAACTATCCAAATTGTGGTTTTGGGCAGCGTTTTTATTTTTTATCTTTCAAGACCAAACAATTTTTCTGTTTGAATAAATTATAATTTAGTTCTTTTGTTTTCCATGATTTTATAAGTTTTTTTTTTTTTTTTTTTTTTTTTTTTTATATATATATTTTTTAACCTAGTCTCTTGATCAGAGTTGTTAATTCTTTTCAAAAGGTTCAAATTGTCTTTTCATATGCATTTATTTTTATTTTTATTTTTTTAGTAGTAGTTGAGGTTGGAAATTTTGATTAGAAATGAAGGATATATAAGAAAAAAAGATAATTAAATTATCATGGAAATCTTAGAAAAAGACTAAATTACAAATAAATATAAAAACACACTAATATGTGGGGATTTATTATTGGTTTTTTAAATTAAAGAGATTAACCAAATCTTTCACTATAAACATAGAGACTAAATAAGTTATTAACTAAAAATTTTATTAAAAACATAAAGGGATTAGTGATTGAATACTTAATTAAATCTTCTTGATTATAAAGAAGCCTTGTTTCCGATTAAAAAAACAATGCACCTTCGTATATTTACAAATTATTTCAATTTATTAGGAGAGGATTTTCCTGTGGAAAGGTATAGATTGGCCCCAGAAAGATTGAAGGCTGTAAAAGGCTTGTACAAAAGGAAGAAATGGGTCGAAGATCGAGAGAGAATGCTGAACTCATGATATCGATTCTGGGACTCTCAGATTTCTTTCAAGCTCTTATATATCATCTATGGTGATTGTGAACATCCTTGATTCCTAAGCCATACCCGGACCCCTGCTTTAAGGGCTCAAAGCAATACACTATCGTATTTGACGCATGCCTTCTCCACTAGTGTCTTTGTATTCAGAAATCGGTCAAGGTTATTCTCTCCCTAGTTTTATTCCCACCTTACCTTTCGGGTCCACTAAAATATACTGAGTTATTAAAAAAATTATATATTTTTATTTCATTTATTATGATTTTAAAATTTAAAATTTTTTATTTAATTAATTCTTCATGATTTTTTTCATTATTCCCTTTTTTGAAAACTATGTTTTTATTTTTGTTTGTAGGACTTTAAAATAAAAAAATTGATAATAATTTAAATAGCAAGCTGAAATGAAAAGAAAAAAAATATGCTATAAAATTTTTTATAAGATTGTATTGAAAAAAATAAAGTGATAATTAATTTTAATAAATTGTTATTCTTATTGAATATTCATGAGACAATTCTTTTTTTTTTTTTAATTATGCAGATTAAGTTCATATATTATTATTCATTAAATAATCACTAATATCAGCATAAAAAATTTAATATTATTTAAAAAGTTATTATCTTATGGTTTTTTAAAAAAATTTTTATTCATTTTATTTGAAGAGAAATTAATTTGAAAAATATTCAAAAATTAAATAAATAATTATTGAGAAGGGTAAGATAAGCCAAGCGTAGGCATGCATGCATTTCCAAGTGAATAGAGAATAAATAATATTTTGTGTAGATGCATATTCAATTTTTAATTAATAACATATTATTTTCTTCTTCTTCTTCTTCTTCTTCTTTTCATACACAGAGTTGATATTTTACAATGAAAAATATCACAAAAATACTTAATATGTAAAAATTATATTGAATAAAATTGAAGTTAATAGTCTAAAAAAAAAAAAACCTAACTTTGTTATTTGTAAGACCAAATCGCATAAATTTAAATCTCAACAACTAAAATAAACATAATTACAAAAATCACATAAATTCTTAGGGAAAACTATTTCATTGAATGAATAGTATCTTGTGTGTTGTTATATAGTTAATTTTCATAGAAATCCATCATACAACTGTCACTCTTTTATTAATATTTATAATAATAAAGACATTAATGTTCTAACTTTTCTCAAAATTTTCTTAAAATATTTTCAAGGCATATACATACAACCTACAAACAAAAATAAATGGATGAAAATGTGATAAAATATTGCAGAGAACGGATAGAAATAAGTGATATATCAAACAAATATTATGACTATATAGAAATTAGTGTGATACTACGTATTAACGTATAAGTCGAGTAACATACAAACTTTATAGAGGCTTAAAAAAATCAAAACAAACACATCCCAATGTTTTTAGTTTTTATTAGATTTTTTACGAGAGCTATGCTATGGATCAAACAAAATATATAAAATTATTTTTAAAAAATTATTTCATTTTAATATTTCGTGTTATATTATTTGTCTACCAAAATACATCAAATCAAAAATAAATAAAAATTCATTCAATTTTATAATTTTTTAATCAAAATTTTGTATTTAACTTACTATTCTTTATAATTTTCATAAATTTTTTTATTAAAAAAATTATTTATTTATCTCTAGCCACAAATTAAAATTTTTTTAACAGTATAAAAAAATGTCAAAACTAATGGATTCTTAACTAAAAACTTATTTTGTGTGATACTACATATTAATGTGTAAGTTGAGTAACATACAAACTTTATAGAGGCTTAAAAAAATGAAAAGATAAAACTAACCAAATTTTGATTGCAAATCAAAACAAACACATCCCAATATTTTTAGTTTTTATATAAAAGAACATTCAATCAGTTATGTTGTAGGTTTCTAAAGAAAAAAAGAGTGGAGGAAACATAATAAAAAAAAAATAATAATAATAATAACCAGGATCACCAACAAACGCAGCTTTCACATTATATATATAATTTGATTATTGGTGGTGTTTTCTTTTCCAGCATCAAGATCCAAAAAATGGTTTAATAATCTCGAAAGCAAGATAGAATGAAAGCAGAACTCTTATAAAATTATAAATATGATAATTGTTCTTTTAACTTCCATTCAAAAGCAATGTTTTCAGACCTAAAAGAAAAAATAAATAAAGAAAGAAAGAAAAAAGCTACCACAACATCAACAACAAGGTTGTATGCTGTAAGCACTATAAAATATATATATATTGATGATGATATTGCAAGTTATGTTAAAAGAGTATTATGAATTTATCTCTGTTTCAAACATCGCATGGAAAAATGCTAAGAAAAAACATTTCAATTTTGTTTCTTATATTTGCTTATAACAAAAGTTGTTAAGCTATAGCTTCATTAAAAAAAGAGAGAGACATCGATCCGAAAAAACTGGGCTGCCTTCAAATCCCTTTGGCTACTTCAAATTGACTACTACAAGTATCTATATATAGTTTCCAGTGCAACAACATCGGTCATTGCAAGAACAAATAAGCTAGTATGTGGTTTTAAGAAAGAATATCTCAAACAATAAAATGTTTGATATAATAAAATATATCTCATTGAGACTCGATCGGTCTGTTAATTTTATGTTTTTCATGGCAAACAGTTGAACTTCAGTATCAGTTTCTTCTTGAGTAAGATTAGTATGGCATCATGGAGATGTTCCTTGCTTACTTCTTGTTTACAACATAAAGCCAACTAACTATGTCTATTCTGTCTTTTCGTAGAGCTGTCGACACTTCACTGAAAATCAAAGTGAAGTCCACCAATGGTATTTAGACAGAGAAAAAAGAAGTATTGAACCCAATTCCGAAAGGAAAGAATGTATAATAACAATAAAATACAAATAAGAGAGAGGATATATGTGTTGTTTCTACATATACGAGAACAAAAGTAAGGACGATATGTTAGATAGTAAAATTTTTATTGTAAAAACCAAACCCCAACCGAATATGTTACAAACAATTTGAAGTCAAAGAAGTGTGACAATAGAACCAAAATGGCAATAGAAATAATTAATAATTTAAATTTGTTATTCTAATTGAGAAAATCAGACCAATAAATCTTGGAAAAAAAAATTATAGGCCATTTATCCAAAATCGAGCATTGATTCATTTCATGAGCACAAACAGCAATGTAAACATAAATTAAACATCTTAACATGCTAAAATTAACAACCAAGCACAATCAAAAATTTAAAAACCATGTAAAAAACTCTTTTTGAAGCAATCCAAAAAAAAAAAAAATTGAGCATTCAAAGAGAAACAAAGTCATTAAAAAGGTTGAAGTCAACTTGGAATGACGCCAAAACAACAAACAAAACAACCTACATCGATAAAAATAGATCATATGCTTGAGAAAATAGCAAAACAAATCAATAAATCACTATCAATAAAAAATAATAAATATAAAAAAATTTTGGTTAAATTAAAATACCATATCTATTTCTAAACTCATCAAAAGAAGACAATTCGACAACTAGATCAGAACAACAACATTGAGATAATCTAAAAATTAGAAAAGCAAACAACAAAAACCTAAGAACAAAGTAGTATAAATAGAAAACAAGAAACGAAAAAATTTATATTAATTAATCCTCACCGCATGTATCTTGAAAAGGAAATCTCATAAGAAACAAAAGTGGAGATTGAACTCTAAAAATAAAAGAAAACATAGAAAATATTGAAGAGAGGCATTAAAGAGATATTCAACCACATGCAATAAAAGATTCGAAGAAAAAATAGCAGGAGAAAAAAATCCTAAACAAAAGAAATCCAATACCCAATTAATTGAAGGCTTAAGCAGCAAATTCAACCAAAGAAAACTTAAAAGAAAAAAAGAGAGAGGGAAAAAGGGATCCTAAGAATACAGATGAGAAGCTATTTCACGTGAGAGAGAAACACAACAAGATAAAAGAGAAGAAAAACATAAAACCTTCTCAAATATAAAGCTCTATTAACTTTTTTTTTTAAGAAAAAAACATCATAATAATAATGATAATAATTCAAACCTAGTTGTCCTGATTCCAATTAGATAATCCAACATTGACACATAAGTAAAACCCATTAAAAAGAAATTGAAATTGATCTTATAATGTTTAACTTAAAAAAAAAAAAAAATGCTAGAAGGGCTCAAAAATCATTCCGGCCACAATTTCTTAACAACCCCAGCAATCAAACGGTGCAAATAATAAAAAATATCACCCAAAACTTTATAAAAAACAAGATCATGACAAAATGAAGATGAAAAATCCATGAGCCAACACTTAGGTTCGTGTGGCTAGAGAAACATGTCAAAACATGATGCAGGAATAATTCAAAACATTAGCAAAATTCAAAAAAAAAAAAAAGCCCTAAGAAAAAGACCTAAAAAATATTAGGTATATCTTCCTCCCTAGTCCTTATATCTTTTTCATTTTCTTTTTTTTATTTGCCTTCACCTTTCTTTTTCTCAATCTTTTAAGAGGTTAGGATTGAGAAAGAGATAACGTGAAAACGGGACAAAAATAATTGGTTTCGAAAATTATGATTTAATAAACATCTCAAACTTAAATATCTAAAATAGTTTTAAAATCAGGTCAAATCATAAAATAGATAAAATCAATAAATAAATACCGAAGGACATGACTGTTAAAACCTCCCAAACCACTACTCTTGTTAATAAAACCAAGACTTAATCACTAATTGCCATATCCACAGTGCAAATGAACAATTCCATCCACAGTAATCCGTGTGTATATCAACATTTTAGTTATAGTGAAATGCCATCCTAATTTAGTTTTTTTTAATGAAACCTGACATGTTATTGTTTGTAATTGGACAGGATTCTCTTTCAAAGATGAACGCTAGAGTGGCAGCTGGGTTGCCAGTTGTTGGGTACTCGGGTTGGCTACAGGAAATGCAGAGCATGTGCCGATGGAAGCAAAGCCTAACTGTCTTGTAAAGATTATACTGATAAGAAACCATAGGCATAGGGATGGCAATGGAGCCATCCCCTCACCGCCCCGCCTCAAAAAATTTCATCCCATCCCCTCTTCATGTCTCGTTCGAGATAAAATTTTGAGTACCATTTTTGTCCTAAACAAGATAGGACAGGACATGGTCCCATCAAATTGTTATTTCTAAAGGTAAAATGGCAGGACGAGGACGGAGATAGGCATCACCATCCTCGCCTCGTCTCAAAAAATTTCACCCCATCCCCATCTCATGTTTCGTTCGACGTGAAATTTTGAACATCATCCCTGTCTCAAACGAGACGAGACTCTGACAGGATGGGGTAATTGACAGGACATGGTAAATTGTCATCCCTACATAGGCAGCTCTTGAAGAGCTTAATAGCGAGGAAGTGGAACAGCTGCAGATTGAATATTTTGTTAGCAAAGCAAATGCTTTAATCGAGTTCTGGTCTAGAGGAGCATGTATATAATCCCCCATTTGACTGCTTAACCTGTAAAGCCATCTGAATCAACAGATTGACCATAGCAATAAATCGGTTTTCTTGTACTTACTGTTACCTGGATTTAACATAGAAGTTTGGTTCGTCGTACTTAGATAATTAAAGTTGACTGATTACTTCAAAAATATAGCTAAAACCCATGAAACACGCATACATTTATAATCCATTATTATGTAGGATGATCATGCACTCCAGATTTTTGCGGCGAAGATGAATTCACAGCCCGCAACAGATAACTGAATAATAGGGAAGGGGGAAAAAAGAAGAAAAAGCATGTCCCTAACCTTGAACATTGAATCAAATTAAGGTTTTCAATCTGTTATTAACAAAACAGGTCAAGTGTTCTCAAATATCTTCAAAACAAGGCCGCGTTCAGATTTGCTTCAAACAATAAACCATTTTACTTGTTAGTTGTTATACTTGAAACAAATTGTTTCTATTACTAAGACTAAGAAAAATAGAGTAACAATAAAATAAATTGATAACGACTTGACGGCATTTCACAAATGTGTACTATATACATGTACAAATTGATAACAACTTCGTCTCTTTACAACTAGAAGAAAGCAATCTACTAAGTTTTTCAATTCATAGTGAATAATTGGGACTGAACCGGATTTTAGACTAGGACCGAGTTCCTGAACCTCAGGAAGGATTATCGTCAGAGCAATCTACTAGACACATCTGCAAATGAAAGCCGTTGATAGACTTACTACACAAACAAATTCAGGATATGAAAAAAGTATACCCAGTTGGAAAAATTCAAATCACAAACTAAATTAAATTCTCTCTACAAATGCTCATGATTCATCTCATGCAGCCCATGAAACTGAATCAATCTCATCCCTAGCAGACTTGTATAACTCAAGCCTTCTTGCACATTTCTGCCTCTTTTCCATCAATGCGGGATCTTCATCTAGCAATACTGCAAGTTGCTTTCCCTACAGAACAAATGACCAAAAAATCAATAAAGCACATGCTTGTACCTGTCTTGCTGTGGACAAATTGTTTTTTAAAAAAAAACACCAAATTTCTACCACATCAAATTCCCATTGAAGAATTAGGAATTCATAGTCTCATGGCAATGCTAGGGTTTTTTCCTTACCTCCTTTTTGCCTAACCGGGTATAGAAATGATCCAGTAAAGATCGTTTGGCCTCCTTCACTTGACAATGAACCACAGCCTTTGGAATTGAATTCCTCATTGTCTCAGATACCATACCAACATATGAGAAAACGTTTGATCCTATTCTACGAAAATGCCCCTCTGCGTATCGGTCTGTATTAAAGACAGTTGGATCTCCACCCTTCTCCACCTCTTGGGGAAGTCTCCTGAAGAAATCCACAGTCAGATACGAGGATTCCATTTCCACCAACCTCAAAGTTGTCTTCTTACTGTCTTCACGGAACCTCTCCAATGCATCGTATGCTGCAGAAGCTATTTCAGCTTGAAGAGTTGGAAAGCGCTTCAACTCCTGTCCATTTCCCAAATCATTAATTAACATTCTTTCTAGATCTTTTCCAGTAATACACTCATAAGTTTCCGAATTCCAAACCTGAGTTTCTCCAATTGACCTCCTTACAAGCTCCTTCAAAATAAAGTGAACCTGCAAGATAACACCAATCAATAGAACATAATGTGGATTCCATGACTGGATAAGATCTGAAACATACAACAGAACTTATATTCAGGAACAGTGGAGATTGTGATAGATTTTTATGACCAAATCTTGCAATAAACACCTTTGTTCGGTATCCACACACTCATTCTTAAAAGACACCGCTCAAGAAGGATAACAAACTAAATTGAATAACTTCGAAAAGGATTTCAGAACATTAGCCAAACTTCCTTTTTTTTCTTCAATAATTTTTTGAACACATATATCATCCATAGCCCTGAAATTTCCTGAGCCTTCACACCAGCAAACATCTCAAGAAAAAAAATTCCTTGGGCATCACCATCGGTTAATCATATGAAAACTCACCATGAAGAACAGAAGATGCTGGAAAGTTAGAAGAAAGATTTTAAGGATTTAACTAGTCAACTTTCCATTTCATTTTTATTCTGAGAATCTCTGATTTTCTAGAATTGTGTTTTCCATATTTGGAAACATATCACCCTATATATTGTATAGCTCCTATTGCATAGAGGCAACACAGAATTTATTATATACAAAACTTCTCTGTTTCATGGTATCAGAGTTGAGCTTTCCTGCCAGCATTAACTATCGACACTGACTGATACTTTTCTTTGGCACTGCCTTTCTTTGTTCACTATTGTGTACCCAATGGCTGATTCAGTTTCATCTACTGGCGATGTCTGTACCCCTCAAATTCAAAACAATACTTTTGTCCCATACTCTAAAATCACCCACTCCTTCCAGATAACCCAACATAAACTAAACGGATCCAATTTTCATGAATGGTTTAAATCTGTTTTGCTTATGATTAGAGGAAAAGGGAAGACTGGGTATCTCACTGGTGAGATTGTTCCACCAGCAAGTACAGACCCCAATTACAAGACATGGGAGGGCCCAGGATTGTATTGTGATGGCTTGGTTGATCAACTCCATGGATCCAAAAAGTGGACGAACATACCAGTTCTACAAAAATGCTCATCTGGCAAGTGTATTCGGATTTCGATAACACGTCTCAATGTTTCAAAATTCAATCCACAATGTGCAATACTCAACAAGGGGCAAGGTCAGTAACAGAGTACTACAATATTTTAAATGAATTGTGGCAAGAAATGGATCTTTTTTATGCAGTGACATGAGCTTGTCCATATGATGGGATGCTATACAACAAAATGCTCGAAAAGGATCGGGTATTTGATTTTCTCCATGGATTGAACAAGGACTTAGATGAAGTTAGAGGGAGGATACTTGGTACCAAGCCTCTTCCATCTATTCGAGAGGTATTCGCAGTGATCAAACGTGAAGAGAGCTGTAAGAGAGTTATGCTCCACAATGCCTCCAGTTCATATGCAAAAGACACTCAGCATGATTCTGCTTTATCAGCAAATCAAGCTACTTTGCATCACAATCGTAACCTGAGATCAAAGACAGTAAGTTATGGTGTGACCACTGCAATAAGTCCTACCATACTAAGGAGACCTGTTGGGATTTTCATGGGAAACCAGCAAATTGGCAACCTCGGAGTAAAAAAAAAATCAGCACATGATGTGGAATCTACCACAAAAACACCAACAACCCCTTCATCTTCCATGCCTTTCACAGTAGAAAAAAGGGAAATTTTGAAGACCCTATTGCATTCATTCCGAACAGCAAACGAATCAGCTTCTCCCATGGCAACTATTGCAAAACAAGGTAATATCCACTTTTCTCTTTTATCTAAAAGTGATCACTGTGAGGTGTGGATTGCTGATACGGGTGCCTCGGACCATATGACTGGTTCTTCCACTTTTTTCATTGACTATAAACCATGTAATGGTGGCATGACAATCATAGTGGCAGATGGAAAATCTCCTATTGTTGGTTTGGGTAAAGTTGCATACAGTGATTTGAAGTTGAATTCGGTCCTTTATGTACCTAATTTATGATATAATCTCCTTTTTGTTTATAAGTTAACTAAAGATCTAAAATTTTGCAGTACCTTTTTATCCTACTCACTATGAATTTCAAGAGCTGTCTTTGGGGAAGATGATTGCCAATGTAAGGAACGAACTGGCCTCTATTACTTTACTGGTTTTCCATCCAGAACGCTATCTCCTAAGAAACTTTCCATGTCTGGTATTTCTAATTCTGATGTTATTTTATGGCACAAATGCCTTGGCCACCCGAGGTTTGAGTATCTAAAGTAATTGTATCCAAAACTATTTTTCAATAAAGATCCCTCTTCTTTCCAATGTGAATGTTGTATCTAGGCAAAACAACCACGAAAAAATTATCCTGCTCGTTCCTATCAGTCCTCAAAGCCATTTCAATCCTCAAATTTGGGGACCAGTTCAATCCTCAAATACCACAAGATCAATAAGGTTTATTACATTTTTGATGACCACACTCGTGTCTGTTGGGTCTATCTTTTGAAAAACAAATTTGAAGCAAAGTCGATTTTCAAATAATTTCATGAACTTATACAAAATCTTTTTCACTCATCCATTCAAACTCTCCGTACTGATAATGGAAAGGAATACTTCACACATGAACTTAACAATTATCTTGTTGAAAATGGTATCTTTCATCAAAGCTCATGTGTTTATACCCCCCAACATAATGGAATTATGGAACAAAAAAATTGTCACCTTCGTGAAGTAGCTCGGCACTTATGTTCATTAGTCATGTCCCACAATTTTTTTAGGGGGAAGCCATGCTCACTGCTGCCCATCTGATTAATAGGCTTGCTTCAAAAATCCTTAAATTTAGCACTCTTATATTCTATTTACAAAATTTTTCCCTTACATCTGTGTCCTGAATTCGATCCCTCCTAAAGTCTTTAGTTGTACTGTCTATGTCCAAAACACAAGTCCAAGCCGTGGCAAACTAGACCCCAAGGCAATTTCTTTCTTGGCTACTCTCCTATACAAAATGGATACAAGTGTTATTTTCCTTCTTCTAGACACTTCCTAGTGTACTATGATGTAACATTCTTTGAACATCAGAGTTACTACACCAATGATTCTCTTCGAGAGGAGAAATATAAGGAAGAAAATCATTGGGATCCTTCTATTTCCCTACCCATCTTCCTTCTGATCCCTCCGGTGCCTGAACCCACTTAGGAAATAAGTCAAGGGGGAAAAACAGATCACCTATCTCAAGTTTAGGATGAACTCCGTGTTTACTCAAAAAGAACACGAGTTCCTCTCCAAAACCATTCATCGGAACCAAAGGCAACTCCTTCTGTAGAAGTTCCACCAAACAAAGGTACTATTACAATTAATGATCATAATGTTCCTATTCTAGGCTACTGTCCTATACAAAATGGATACAAGTGTTCTTGTCCTTCTTCTAGAAACTTCCTAGTCTACTATGACGTAACATTCTTTGAACATCAGATTACTACACCAATGATTCTCTTTGAGAAGAGAAATATAAGGAAGAAAATCATTGGGATCCTTCTATTTCCCTACCCATCTCCCTTCCGATCCCTCCAGTGCCTGAACCCACTTAGGAAATAAGTCAAGGGGGAAAAATAGATCACCCATCTCAAGTTTAGGGTGAACTCCGTGTTTACTCAAAGAGACCACGAGTTCCTCTCCAAAACCATTCATTGGAACCAAAGGCAACTCCTTCTGTAGAAGTTCCACCAAACAAAGTTACTATTACAATTAATGATCTTAAAGTTCCTATTGCTATGAGAAAGGAGGTAAGATCATGTACTAAGCATCTAATTTCAAATTATCTCTTATATTGCAAGCTGTCACAGAATTATAGGGCATGTATTTCACAAATTAATAGTGCAGAGGTCCCCACAACCATCCATGGAGCCCTAAGGGACCCAAAATGAACAGCTGTTGTAATGGAGGAAATGAAGGCATTGGAAGACAACAAAACATGAGTTAGTCAATCTTCCTGAAGGGAAGAAACTGATTAGATGCAAGTGGATTTTCACCATCAAGTTGGGGTCAAATGGACAGATTAAAAGATATAAAGCGAGGTTAGTCGCTCAAGGTTACACACAAACCTATGGCATTGACTATGAAGAAACATTTGCTCCTGTAGCAAAATTAAACTCTATTCGAGCTCTATTATCTCTCGCAGCCAATCCGGATTGGGAATTGCACCAGATGGATGTAAAGAATGCCTTTCTGAATGGTAGTCTAGCAGAAGAAGTGTAGATGAAATTGCCTCCTAGATTTAAAGGAGATAAGAAGCCTGGTATTGTTTACAAGTTGAAGGAATCCCTCTATAGTCTGAAACAATCTCCTCGAGCTTAGTTCACTCAATTTAGTGCTACTATGAGACAGTTTGGCTATAAGCAAGGACAAGCTGATCATAATTTATTTGTGAAGCAGGCAGATGATGGAAAGAAATCAATTCTAATAGTATACATTGATGATATGGTGACTACTAGAAATGATATTCAAGAGATTGACAGCCTTAAGAGATGACTACAAGCTGAGTTCAAAGTCAAGGACTTTGGGAAACTACAGTACTTCCTTGGAATGGAAATTGCTGAGTAAACAAGGCATCTTCATCTCTCAAAGGAAGCATACTCTTGATCTCTTAAAGGAAACCAGGAAACTTGGATGTAAACCTGCCGAGACTCCTCTAAAACGAAGCTGGAGACACAAGATAAATGAAAGTGATCCATCAGTAGACCGAGAAAGGTACCAAAACTTAGTAGGTAAGCTCATATACTTGTCACTCACGAGGCCAGACATTGCCTACAGTGTAAGTGTTGTGAGCCAATTTATGCAATCTCCTAAAAAAAAGACATCTTGAAGCAATAACTCAAATTTTATGATATTTGAAGGGGACACCAGGAAAAGGATTGCCGTTTAGGAAGAATGAAAGAAGAGATGTTGAAGGATTTGCAGATTCAAATCGGGCTGGTTCAGATGACACTAAATCTACTATGGGGAAATGTGGTGACTTGGAGAAGTAAAAATCAAACTGTAGTAGCAAGAAGCAGTGCAGAAGCTGAATGCAGAGCAATTGCCCAGGGGATTTGCTAGTTGATTTGGATGGAAAGCTTACTAAAGAAACTAGAGATTCTTTTACAAAGCTCAATGGAGTTATATAGTGATAGTAAGTCTATTATTGATATTGTTCACAATCTCATTCAACATGACAGAATGAAGCACGTAAGGATTGATAGAAATTGCATCAGATCAGAGATTGAGAGTGGTTTAGTTAGCTTGCACTACATACCTACGAAGCTATAAGAAGCAGATGTTCTCACTAAAGCTTTGTCAAAAACGGGATTTGAGTCAAATGTAACCAATCTAGGAATGATTGATATCTATTCGCCAGCTTGAGGGGGAGTGTTGGAAAGTTAGAAGAAAGATTTTAAGAATTCAAATAGTCAACTTTCTATTTCAGTTCTATTCCCAGAATCTCTAATTTCCTAGAATTGTGTATTTTCTAGGATTGAGTTTTCTATATTTGGAAACATATCACCCTATATATTGTATAACTATTGTATAGAGGCAAGACAGAATATAATATTTACAAAACTTCTCTGTTTTCAGAATATAGAAGTTTAAAAAAAGGAAAATGGGTACTTACAGCATCTACAGAAGCTTCAGCAGGGCCCCTGAAGTAATTAAGTGCACCATCAATAAGACGTCGATAACCTTGCTCTGGTGCGATTAGATGAGGTTGATATCCATCTGCCTCTGAAACAACTTTTCTTACGTTTTGCATAGACAAATGACGGTCAAATGGAAGCTTCCTCAAAGCAGTAGGAAGCTGGTAGTCAAAAACTCCATAAATTCGATCACCACCAGGACGCCTGAGGTTTAATTAAAAAAAAAAAAAGTAACTGGTTATAACAGTTCTAAGAATCTAATCATTCAAATATAGTTAGAAGGGAAACCAATATCATAAAAAATAAACAGTTCGTAAAGAATAATTGATAGGCATTTCTAAGATTTTCGTGAAATGGAAAAATATAACATGAAATAACAAGTGAGCTAGAATCAAGTCAATGAGAATCCGCAACTATGAATGTTTCCCTAGAACACAAATCAATCAAAACTCAGACTTGGCCTTATTTATTTGCTATTGAGGTGATTCAACATGAACAACAGATTGTGTTATGGTGTTCCTCTACTAACAGCTGGAAAAGGATTTGTTAACAAAAAGAATTGAAAAGACGAAGTTTGTTATGGTACCCTCCATCCAAATGCTCCTTGAATACATGATCAAATGCACGGCATAACTCTAGAATGGTATATAGCTGAGCCTGTTATACACACATAACAACAATTAGTAAATTAATTAACTCAGCTGACTTCCATCTATCAGCAATAACAAATGGTACATGACCTCCTCACCCCAGCATCAATTGCAACAGGTCTACCAAGGTGATCCAACTCTGATTCAAGATCATCAATGCTTCTATTTATTAAAGATGTGATACCTGGTATGCGAGATTTAATTACAGATTCCAAATGCTGAAAAAAAACATTAATTCTCTTTAGTGATCAGCAATTGTATGCGGAATTGAGGGAAAATATAGAAGTTGGAAAAATGTCAACATCAATTGAAAAACTGTGCATCACATTAGACATGCAGAAGTAGTTTCTGCAACGAGTAGTAGTACGGCACAGAAATAGGGAAAGAAGAATGTGATCCTATTAAAGTTGACCTTCAGCAATTGATAAAGAAGTTGGGATAACAACAAGTAGAGAAAATGTTGTCAGCTGTGCAAGTAGAAATGGAACCTTAGACAGAAGTTTTGCAAGATATTCTGAACCCATCCTGCCAGCCAAGTTTCCATAATCAGGACTAGTGGCAAAGAACTCATGCTCCTTTTGACGAGCAGCAATCATATCCACATTTGTATTGATATCAGCTTGAGACCGGTTAACAATTCCAACCCAAGGGTGTTGAAGCGGGTAAGCCCTTCCTTCAAGAACCTTCAATTATACATAGAGGGAGGTAATTAAGCATAAATTACCAAATGCAAAAGAACATGCCCACTAACATGACTTATAAAAGAACAGGGGGGTTTGTTTGATTTTAATTTGCAGTCATAAAATATGTAGGATTAGATTGGAGTGCTCTAATTATGCTATTTAGGACCCGATAGTACATATTAACAATTGTCACATATCATCTAGATTGAAGCAAAATATTTCAGTACTAAAGAATTTCAGTAGAACAGAAAAATGACTGAACGTTTACATCCTGAGCATTTGTTCCCTTATCCATCAAGTCAAGCTTTGTCAACACACCAAATGTCCTTTCACCTGGAAAGAAACAGAAAATCTCCACATCAAGGAAAGAGCACTAAAAAACAAGTAGGGAATGCTAACTATGCAAAATGAGCAGAAAGTAAGACCTGCTGGATCAACTTCTCTAGCAAGTTTGATAGCATCAGATGTTGCTATATCTTGATTGGCTGGAGTTATGGCCAGAATGATGCAATTTGGCTGCATTCCAATGATCACATATTAGTGCATTAAAATCTAGGGGCAGAAGAGGATCTTAAAGATCTTGAAAATAGATATATTTATAAATTCTCAAAAATTCCCCAACCTTAACTACTCCAACCTACCCATCCCTTTACCAATAAAGCTTTAGGCCAAATATAAAGCTGAACCAATTCCCTATGCAACTGATTTTCTTGAAAATAGAGACAAATAACACAACAACATCTTTTCAATTACCAAATAGAGATTACATGGAAAAAAACAACGGATTAATATTAAAAAAAAAAAAAAGTAGCAACACCTCATGCATTCATATTAAAAACACCAATCACAAAGTACTGAAAACTCCATTCATTAGGATCAATGGAAAACAAACATTACACAGTAGTTCAAAAACCCTCAAAATGGAAAGACTCATAAAATGATCATCCTGGTGCTTCTACTGTGGTTTGGAGCACACGTGTGGTGCAGGCCCCTAATCAAGATTCCTAGCCACCAAATTTTGCTCTCTAAGGACAAATAACAAGAGTCCTCCAGAGAGGCAAATTAGGAAGCAGATTAATTGATTAAAAGAACCATTACACACATTGAGAAAGAGCGAGAGAGAGAGAGGATATGCAATTGAGTAAATCCAGTCATTAGTGTAAGTGTATATATAAATCTAGAGAAGTGTATACAATCTTGGATCCACAAGTAGTGCATATTTGAGCTATTTCTGATATGAATATTAAATCTAATGCTCATTAAGTGATAAATTTTATCAATAAATTGCACAAAAATAAGTTTGATTTACCTTCTCAACATATAAACGAACCATATTTTCGATGTCCCTAACAATGCTCTCTGGCTGACCCTCTATCATTAACAAACATCTCTAGTTACAAACTCGACAGCTGAATGAAGACACTAATAACGATGGTACACACATTTTAGCAGTATGAATCATGCGAGAGAAGGGAAGAGAAGTGTACCTACTGCAACTTTTGTTAAACCAGGCAAATCTATTAATGTCAAGTTGACAACTGCAAAAGAGAAAAAACAACAAACCATGAACATTCTGGAAGAAATTGATATATGCAAAATGAAAATGTAATTTTATTATGATCAAGTCAAGATAAGGGTCCCTATAAATTTTCTTCCAGAAAATAGATAAAATATGATGCTTGCTGCACAGCTCAGTTTCTTTTACCATTTGGGGAGTAGATACTCAGATGAATAGGAACAGGAGATATCTGCTTTGACTTCCCAGTAACTTTATCAGTTTCATCTTGAATTTCCTTTCGAACCATAGCTACACAAGAAAAAACGTGGTTAACCATTAGTAAATGTACCTTCTACTCCAAAGGGTATTGAAACACAAACATTATATAGCCAAATAACTTATGGCAAGTAACAGTGGCAGTTTTCTGATAAACAACTTTTATAGCCAAATAAGGAGAAAGAATCAAATTTAAATTATAGGAAGAAAGAAATCAACCAATATAGCATGAGAAATTCAACTATGAAAACCTATCCAAATTTTACTCTGCAAGATATTACAACCCTCATTTCTGTAACATATTGACTCAAATAAATCACGTAATCATATCATCTGAAACATATTGACTCAAACAAATCACGTAATCATATCATAATTCAAAAGCAGGAAAACAATGCAAAATGACAAAAAGTGTAAACAGAGAGGGAATATGGGGCCGTTGGGAAATAAGACACCTCTGGTCCGCTTTTTTTTACCAGAAAGCCAACACTTAGTTGCATTCTAAGAGATTATGTGACTAAGTAATACAATCATATCACATCATCAGCATTACAAATCACATACCGAAATCTGTGAATCTCTCCCTTTGCTTGTGAAGAAACTCTGCATACTCCGGTATCCCTGGTTCTGTCTTGTGCAGTTGCAATACCAAAGGTCGCCTTGTCACGATCCCTGAAAATGCACAAAAAAGAAAATAATAATAATAAATAAACAAAACATAGTAAGAAGTTTTTTCTTGACAACGAAACCAAGGAAACTTAAAAGTATTAGTTTTTCATTTTCTTTTCAATCTCATTATGCAATGAAATTTCAAGCTACGCCAATATATAACCCAAATTTTATGCAATGCATTATTGATTTCATATATCCAAGCAAAGAGAGCGAGAGAGAGAGAGAGAGAGAGAGAGAGAGAGAGAGACAAAAAAAAAAAAAAAGAGTCCAACACTAAGAGTGTAAGGGAAAACAAAAAGGAAACAGCAAGACCGAAAATGGTTCTACAAAAACAAACCAGACTGCAATCCCAAAAAACTATTTGCTAAAGTAGTTTGACTTAGTTGACTTGAAACTTTAATACTTAAGAAACAGTCAAGACAGTTTCTATTGTTTCATTTTCATTTCTTTTTAATCTTCTCAACATCCAATCAGATTTTAAACCAAAACCAACAAAATAAAGAAAAACATAAATTGAAAATTTACCTGATCCTCTTGGAAGAAAATCTCTGCCCACAATGCTCTCCAACACTGATGACTTTCCAGAACTCTACAATATTACACCATAAAATCATATCATCAACAAACAAACACGCAAAAATATGCATATTATAATACATGTACCTATACACGTATAAAAACACACTTAGACCTACATAAATATATGACCAAAAATTGTTAAATTTGCATTTTCGATAATAAAATATCATCCAATTACAGAAAAAGTAAATAAATTAATCCATCGAACAAAAACAATAAATTCTCATTTGAAACGGAAATACAAACCAGACCTAACAACTCAGAAACAACTGCTACACTCACTTAAAACATCAAAATACAAAAAAGAAAAAATCGTATGTATGCAACACATATACATATATGATACGTATCAACGTACGTGTATACGTATGCGTGCACGGTACACACAGAAACAATGAAAATAATAAGAAGAAAATAAAGAGAAACTTTCAAAAACAACCGCATTCACTTCAAATTTCCGAAACACGCAAATATACATAACAAACGTAACATGTGTGTGTGTGTGTGGAGATATAGAGAGAGAGAATAGGACCTGGCCGCCAACAACGGCGATAGAGGGAAGAGACTCCCAGAGAGTAGGCAAAGAAACTGCAGCGGCGCCACCAGAGTCACCGCCGTAGTCACCGAGAATAGTACAGGCTCTCTGCATTCTATTAACAAGACCGATCAAGCTCTCCATTGTAGCCATTTGAGAAGAAGAAACCCTAAGCTTCTCTTCTGTAACTGTAAGTTGTTTCTGTACAGAGGAGGAGGAAGCAGTTGTGATCTTTTTTGAATTTGAAATGGAGCGCAATACGGAAACCAACAAACACGAAGTGATAGTGACAGAGAGGACGTAGAGGAGAAAGATAAAGAGAGCTATTTTCGCTTATCTTGTTTTTTTTTTTCGATTATTTGGGATTTCGGAGAGACAAAAGAGAGAGTGATATATATAGTGATGCGCCACGTGAGCGAACTTTTTGGGCTTGTATGAACTTGAAAGGACCTTCTTGTGACTCGAATTTGAACTCCCTCTGGTCATCGGTTATCGTATTTTTTTTTCTTTTTTTATTTTTAGTTATAAACAAATACTACGTTTGTATATCTAAATTTTTTAATAAAAATATCTTTTTAACGTAGTGTATCAGTTCTTACAAGTTTTTTTTCTCTAGAATATGTATATTAATATATCGTATATTTAAAATTTGAAGATAAAATTGATTAAAAAAAAAGTTGTTTAATGATAATATAAAAACTATTTAGATGGAATTTTTAATATTTTTCCAAAAACTTGTTTATTAGAGAAATTATTAAAAGAAAATTTCTCACACTTTGATGCTTTTTTAAATTGAAACTCAAGCCACACTGGTATAGAAACTCTAATTCGTGAACTTTATCTATTATGCACAGACAGATAATTTATATTAGTTGATTAAAAAAAGTAGAAAGAGATGTAAAATATATATATATATATATATATAGTCAGTTGTGATCTGTTTTTTAATCACATGTATGTTTTTTTTTTAAATAAATTCTTTACCAAACAATTCTATTTGAAAAAAATTAGGCAAAAAAATGAAGTAAATTATAAATTAGCCCCTTTTGTTTCCAAAAAAGAATTAATTAGTCTCTCTTATGTTAAAAATTAAAAATTTAATTTTTATATTTTGAAATCTAATGTAATTTAATCATGTTTGCTTATTTTTAATTTTTTTAGTTCAAAAAATAAAAATAAAAAAATAAGAAATTTTATGAAATAAAAATAATATTAAATTAAGCATATTCAACACTGATTAAAAAATTAAATATATAATAAAAAAATTTATTTATTTATTTATTAAGACTAGAGGGACTAATTTATAATTTACTCCCAAAAACTGCTGAACTTTTTGAAGAAAACGATAAAGTTAAAGCCAAAAAGAACAAATATTGCACGCAGGATTCATAGTGGACTTTTAAAGTGGAAGTTAAAAAAAAAAAAAACAAAAGGTCTTTTGGAAATGGGCCAATGAGCATCCCTAACAAACTAATCCCTCGTGATACGAAATATGACGTGGCATGTGCTCAAGTCATCAGCAGCTAGCATGATGCTAGTAAGGGTTCATCTGCCACATTTCTATCGGTTAAAATTCTCATTCCTTTACGGATCCCTATTCACTAGCCAGTGACGCGCCTAAATCACCCGATTTTTTCATATGTGATTTTATTATACATAATTTTGAACGTAATTTAGGTAATATGTTTTATAATTGTAATATAATTATTGTCTCCCAGAGTAATGTTTATAAAAACTAGCTATGCAGAGTAATATTTGCTATCTTTAAAGTGCTTCTATTTGTATATTATTTGAGTTTAAAATGTTATCTTTTCTTGAGATTTTTGCAATCTTCTAAGTATTTTCACTACTAATCTCTTCGGTAATATAATCATCTCATAGGTTTTGAAATTGATCTTAACATTTTTGTGTTGTGTATTTTTGTGTGCTTGAAGTCTCTTTTCATTTTACATTTTTGTAGGTTTTCGTCTTTTTGTTTTTTTTTTTTCCCTTTCTATTGTGGAGAATATGAAGATGTTTTAATTTTTTGTATTGATGATTTTGTACCTAAACATAAAAAAATACTAAAAAAAAAATAGTATAAATTTTAATACACGCACACAATAATATAGAATGAACATGTGTTATCTATCAAAGTAATAATTATTAATAAAAAATTCTAAACTTTAAAATATATAAAAATATACCAAAATGGAAAAAAAAATCTAATTACATAAAAAATAATAAATTATATATATATATATATATATATATACAAAAAAATAATAAAAAACTAATAAATAATAAATTCAGATAATAATTATATATTAGTATAATAAAATCTTATAAAAACACATCAAAATAAATACTAAAAATATGAAGATATTGTAAAGAAAAAACACATAAAAAGTAAAATAATAAATTTAAAGTCAATGAACAAAAAAAAACATATTAATTGCCAAAAAAATTGAGTGCACAACAAAAAAGGAATTAAAATAACTAGTGCAATTACAAAACTACCATAAAGAAAAAAAATCCATGCAAACTAACAACCATAAGTCAACGAATAAAAAAAAAACACATATAAAGTGCCAAAAAATTGAATGCACACCAAAAATCGAATCAAAATAAATAATAAAATTATAAAACCACCATAAAGAAAACACGTACAAAAATATAAATATTTAAATTTTAATGATCCTAAAAAATTAATTTAGTTGAAGAAAAAATACATGTGAACTAATAACCACAAGTTAATGAATCCATAATATATATATATATATATATATATATATATATATATATATATATTGGCAAAAAATTGTATGCATACGAAAGGAGGAATCAAAAGAAATAATAAAATTATGAAACCACCATAAAGAAAACACGCAATAAAAAAAGTTAAATTTTAATTCAATGAACTCAAAAAAAAAATTACTATAGAACATGAAGAAAAAAATAATAATAATAGAAAAATAATGAAATAGATATATCATATAAAAAAAATCAATAGAATCATAAATATGATATAAAGGGCCTAATTAATATTCAAAGAAGTCGATCTAAAAAAATACATGAAAAATCAAGTACAAAATCAAAGTGAAAAAAATTGAAAAAAAAAATCACTATAAAAAAAACACTAAATAAATAATAAAAACATCTCAAATATTCTCCACAATAGAAAAAAAAATTGAAAAAAGACCTACAACCATGCAAATGGAAGAGACCACTCCAAAAAAAAAAAAAAAAAAACACAAAAATACATATTGTCGAAATATTCAAGGGATTGTTGGAGAAAAAAGCTAGAAGATTGCAAAAAGTTTCAAAAAAAATGTAATAGTTAAAACCAAATTCTAATTTTTTAAAAAAAAAAACTAAAGCAAAATAGAGTTTTTTTAGCTAAACTCCTATTTTGGCATTTTGTGGCATCAAAACGGCATTGTTTAAACAATGTTATTTTCTCAAAAAATTTAAGTGATTTTTTTCAAAATCTTTTCCACTTTAGTCTTTTGAGTTTGAGAGTTGTATGGAATGGTCTCCTAAATTTCATTTGTTCTAAATTTAGGTCTTTAAATAAAAAGAGATGAGAAAGAAAGCATGAGTAGGAGGGAAAAAGACGAGAGAAAAATCTCTAACAAGTTGCAATTCAAACACGTAAACCAACAATATTAGTGTCAATGTGTCTGTCTTCATGGTAAGAATTTTTAATGATTATTTAAAGCTACAAGTGATTGGAGAAAAGAGATCGACTCTAAAAAAAAATTAGATTTTTAAATTTGATTCTATATTTTTTAATCTTTAGAGTGGATTTTGAGTATGTTTTGAGATTTAGGATGATTCTAATGAGTAAATGATAAATTAGTCTCTTTAATTTTGAAAAACAAATTAAATAGTATTTCTAGTTTCAAAAAGAATTAATTAGTCTTCTTTGTTTTAAATCTAATGATTAAGCCTTTGTATTTTTTAATTTTATTGTAACTTAATTCTTTTCGCTTCTTTTCAATTTATTTTATTTTTTGTTTTATGAAATAGAAAAAAATAAGTGAAAAAAATACGAAAGGAATGATGAGAAAAAAATGATATTTTATTAAATAAAATAATATTTAATTAAGCATGGTGAACATTGGTTAAATGATTAAATAATTAGTTTTTTAAATAAGAGAGAATAATTAATTTGCTTATTGAAAATAAAGGAATTAATTTATAAAATATTTTTTATTCCAAGGTGTATTTTTTAGTAAATTGGTGTTGAAAACGGACGTGGGGGGTCAAAATAGTGGCCATATGGTTTTCAACGGCCATTTCTAAATTTCAGTCATTGGAACATTGGGGAGGAGGTGCTTGGACCATGCATCGTTTGCTGTTAAGGGCGGCACATCTTCGTCTTCTTTCTTCCTTCTTTTTCCAATTTTACTAGGCCCTGCCTTCCTAGCCCAAACGTGCGTGCCTAGCCCATTTTATTTATTTATTTATTATTCACTATTTTCTCAACATCAGTTTTTCAACAATTAATAGTGTTTTTTTTTTTAATTTTTCATACGGCTTCACAGAAAAATGATAATTTTTTTTTTGTAAATTTAACTTCTTCTTTTTTTCAAAAATCAGTAAAGAAAATAATCGTTATTGTAAAAAATCATGATTAGTTTTACAAAAAATAATGATTAATTATCAAATTTGTTTTACAATAATAGAGGTTTGATGAATGATGATTAATCAATATAAGATGAATAGTTTTTAAACATTTAAGGAAGATTGGCTAAATTAAAATTGATATAATGCCGATTTTTTTAAAAAAGAAAAAAAAATCAACATTGACCATAGATTGACCTTCAGGATAAGAAAAACATTCTGATGGTCTTTCGTGCCTCGGATGGTCATGCTGAGTTTAAGCTTCTCATCATCTTTAATTTATGACATTGCGATAGTCATGCTGATCAGTTTATCAAAGTAATAATCACCAACATGCTCCTGTAAGAGGCACTGTTCTTGAAATCTTTTTCCATCCAGACCAGCATAAATTTGCATGGCAGTATGTTTCTTATAATGCCTGGGGCAAAAAGTGCAGGGGCATAAACAGGAACCAGGGCCTGACACACACTCTCTCTCTCTCTCTCTCTCTCTCTCTCTCTTCTTCTGCTGTTCTTCGAGACTCGAGAGCAAGCTTTTCAAGTATCAGGAATACAATAGTCTAGAAAAGAATCTGCATAGTTTATTTGTCAATGATAAGCTACTTCTTCCAATTCTTCCAATTCTTCAATGACAAAAGTGGCATATGAAGAGTGAAGACCAAACCTGATTTCTTTCATTTATCCCCAAATCCATAATAGATGAACTAGTACTATGACAATACAAATTAAAGAAACTTCTTCCCTGCGATTGTTTCCTAGCTCTTACGTTACACATTAAGGTTCTTGTCTTGTGTTCATACTATCAACCAGTCTCTAATTGTACCCCAGTGAGCTCATTTTCACTGGTAAGGCTTGCCTTGGATTTAGCAAGATCATCTAGATAATGTTGATAAATGTAGGAAAGAAAGCCCCAGATTGCCAACAGCATTGCCATAACCTTCAAGCCATTCATCTTATCATGGAAAAATATCACAGCAAGAATGGGAACAAGTGGCAAAGCCAGTGTACTGATGACATTAGAGAAGAGAGAGGATACCTCAAAAATCAAACCCAACATACCCAAGGAGGAAATTTGCCATGTAATAGCTGTCCAAATCAGATTCATCAAATAGGAAACTTTTCCTTCTTTATATTCTTTCATCTCATTTTCAAGACTTCTCCATTCTCCGCTTGCAAAAAGTCCCACCACGCAGCCGCAAGTCGCAACAAAAGATGGATATATTTGCATACTCAACACGACAGAGAAGGTTTCTTTCTTGATAACCTTTTCGAAAGAAAGCTGCACTAGTGAAAGGTATAAAGAGTATGTCGCAGATGCACCCACTGTGCAGAGAAATCCAATTACATATTTTCCTCTGGAAATGCCTGCAGGCTTCTCAGAGTCTGCATTAACTGCTAGAAGGGAGGCTGAAGCAGTAAGGAGGACTAGAGAATTGAGCACAAAAGGAGACAATTTTTGTGAATTAAGGAAGAAGGAGAATAGTGCATTGAAGGCCAATTGGGTTGCACAGAGAAGAGAATAAGTGGAGACAGGAAGATATAACAGTCCATATGAGTACATCAAGTTGTCACCTGTTAAGAGTACCCCAAAGCCAATGTAGAGGAATGTAAGAGTGGATAGTTGAGGACCTTTTGGTGTGTTTGCAAAGGAAGAGCTAATGAGATTGATTGCGGTTGTGGAAATGGTAGAAGTTGTGAAGAAGAAAAGGAGGGGGAGTAGAATTGGAAAGCCAGCAGATTGAACAAATGTTGCCATCCATTTGCTATTCCCACCTTTGTCAAAGTATAATCTTCCCAAAAGAGTGGCAGCAGATTGACCTGAGAGAAGAAATAGCATATAGCAGGTCACTCGGAGCCACCACCTGTAATGTATTAGTTTTGGTAGATGCAATTTGTTGTTAACAGAGGAGACGTCATTACTTGAGTTTGGCTCTTGATCATCTGCAGCTGGAAAACAGCAAAAAAAATTTCTTGAATACAACCAAGCAAAGAAAATGATTATGGCTTGTAGTGGGTTTTGATCACCCACTTAATTTTTGCTTGATGGCGGGTTAAATGTGTCTATTTCATTAGAGGATACTAATTGGATATCCGTGTTACGCTATAATCGGACAATCATTATATACATAAAGTGAACGATTCTTATGGTATAATGCAAGTAAAAATCTTATTCCTCGTAATTAATATAAATCAAATTTATTTGTTGAGCAAAATCGTTTGATTTATATATATTTATTAACAAAATAATCAATAATATTAACATAAAAAGTTGTATTTGAATAATTGAAAGATTCTTTTAAAACATTATTTTAATTATTTTATTTACAAAATATTGATTTTAGAACATAAAAAAGAATAAATAACAAATAATTAGTATTATGTGTGCAGATACATAATTAATTTCTAACAAAACTAATTATATATATTTTAATTATTTTATTTCAAAAAATATTGATTTTAGAATATAAAAAAATAAAAAATAAATAATTAGAATTATGTGTTCAAATGCATAATTAATTTTCAACAAAACTAATGATATATATAAAATTTTAAAATAATAGTCTGGATATTTTCAATTCTATGTTTTAGCTTCAAGTACAAGAACTAAGAAAAACGGATAGAAGATTAATCATATGCATTGGACACTATTATGACAACTAAAATTGATATGAAAATAGAATAGGCAGTAGATATATGTAGAAGCAGCGCATAGTAACTAAAAAATAATCTGACTAACCAGTGATTTGTAGTTCAATCCCTCCAGCATCCTCCATGAAGATTAGAATCAGAAGTTATTGGTATTCTTATCTTTCTTCCACTGCCTATAAGCAAATGGAACGAGGTCGGAAAAAGAAAAAGGACCTTGAATACAGCATTTAAAGGATGGTTCTTCCTTCTCAGTCACTCAATATTACATATTTTGCTGCTCTGAAAATTGGCTATGCTGAAACCCCGCGAAGTTTGACTGATCTGGTCTTATCTTAGGCCTATTTTCTTTGAACCAGGATGAGGTATCTGTCTATATGCGATCTTGTTTAATTAAGTGGATTGGATAATCATGAAACTACAGTTCCTGTTCGTTTATATGGTCAAAATTGCCTAGCTGCAATGCTAGTGGATCCCCTACAGTACTGACCTTTTTGGCTTGATTTCAATAGCAAGTGTCCAAAATGCTGCTGCTGACGTAACGTAACTGAAAATGTACTGTTTGTCCTGTTGTTAGGAAGTCAGGTTTTTAGCATCAAGAATGATACAAAGTCATTCGTCTGCTCATCACCAGTTAATTTGACGTGATGAAACAATTTTTGTTGCTAATGATTTCTTGAGATTTTGCGCCAATATTGCCAAAAACACGAATATCCTTCTAAGCTCACCTATAACATAGCTTGCAAAAAGGGCTGCAGCAGCAACTTAACCTTCCAAATCTACATGTTGACCTCAATTAATGCTTATCAGCATTTTCCTTTTGCTTTCGAAGGCATTTCATCAAGATAGCTCTATACTACTGTATAACGGTACTGCAATTTCGAAAGTCCATTTCAAAACATATCTTCTTTAATGAAGCCATATCCTACCTACCTTTTACAGAGTCCTTGTCGACAAGTAGTTCAATTCAATTTGCAATCAAGTTGCATTTAGCTACTTTATTATTTAAGAAATATGAACTAATGTTATGACTCATATTTGTGTAAGCTCCTATTAAGTTTATTTTAGGGTTTTCTTAATTTAATAGTATGTTAAATCTGGATCGTTAATTAATAGTTGATGGAAGTATAAGATTCAATGCTAACATGTATATAAATTAGTCTTCTCTCTATCCTAAAAGGTATGCGGATAAAATATAAAAATACGAACGCACGTATTTGGCTATCCATCAAGCCACTCGCTACATAAAAGAGGGTTAAGGGAGAGAAACTAATTTATAAGGTTCGTGATTGTTGAAAGCTCTCTCTACATCATGTTGAATTCCGCTCAAGGTAAGTAATTTATTCGCTTTATCTATGTGATTATTATTATATTCAAGATCTCGAATGGGCATGAATGATTTATATCTTGATCATTGCATGGTATGATTTATGTTTTGATCTTTAAGCATGAGATTTACATGTGGTAGCGGAGCCTAGGTTTTGAATAGATAATAATCTTTAGATTATTGATATAATAAATAAATAAATAAGAGGAAGATTACTACCGTCGTTGCCAACAATTGGCGACGATCGATCATTAGCGGTGACATCGCTAATAATCAATTATAAGGACCATGCAAGGCCTTACGTAGCCGGCCTTGCATGCGCCTCTCTATCGTATATCTATATGTATATATATAGACATACAAGGCCTTACATGATGATGACATGCAAAGCCTTGCGCATGATATATATATATATATATATATATATATATATATATATTCTTGTTTTATGTATACATGACACTATGATTAAAAATTAATTTGTTAGTCACCAAAGTGGCCAAATTAATTTTAAATGTGTGGTCATATAATTTATATATTTTTATAAAATGCTATTGAGAATAGAAATTTATTAGTTGATTGTAGCGACCTTAACGTAATTCCTTACAAAAACTTCGTATAACTTAGCCATTTTAGTTATAGAAAACTCAATTAATCACAAAATATCACTTAGAAATGTTAAAACCTCATATTAAAAAGATTAAAAATTTATTTATATATATATATATATATATATATATTTTTAACGGACGAGCGAGTCACACGGCCTTCCACACGATCGTGTACTTGCCCGTGTAATTTAAAATCTCATTTTCCCTTGAAAACAAAAGGTTACACGACCTCCCACACATCCGTGTACCTTCTCGTGTATGTTTCGCTCAAAACAAGGGTTTTTCGACCATAACACTTCAAAACCCAATAAAAACCATTATTTTCACTTATAACTCTTGGATATTCAATCAAAATCCCTTTTTCTTTGTTCATAATCACGTCACAAAACACATCCAGGAGTTCATATTTACACATTTACATATACAATTCAAAAATCTCCTATGATGCATATGCTCGGCATAATGAGAGATAGGAGAGGGAGATCGTTAGCCGACTTGTCACTCATGACGAAAATTGAACAACAAAAGATGATTTTAACTTCCACTTCGCTTCTTAGCGCCTAAAAAGATAATTGCATTTTTAATGAGATGCTACTCAATGAGAGAACAATAATCCATTAAAACCATAACATGCAATCACGTCATCTAAGTATCATCACATATAAACAATACGGATGCAGTTCATATGACTCTAAGATTATATGCTTTGCTTTTTCTTGTCGGTTATGACTTGAACATGTCAAGTTTCGTCCTACGTACTTGTAACTTGTAAACTTGTACACATGTATTGCTGGCCAGCTTTTATAACTTGTAGTTGACCCATTGGGTCCTTGTAAACTTGTAGACTTGTATTTGTAAAACTTAGACAAGCCGGTCATAACCTTAACCTCTTAATCTTTCATATATCATGAATGTTTCACATATAGCATATACAACATCCATGACTTACATCATGTTACATATCTATTATAACATCAATAAACATAACGTTTGCGTCAACTAGCAAAAGGCACGTCATTCACATCATACATCAATATCAATAAATAAAATATTGTTATAATATTAATAAACATAATGTTTACGTCAACTAGCAAACGGCACATCATTCACATCATAATATCAATATCAATAAGTATAATATTACCACTCAATAGCAATAACACATCATGACACAACTATTATTATTCAACTCACAAAATGACGACTTCGTCGCTCGTCAACGTGTTGCGTCTTGCACCTCATGCTTCTCGGCGTCTATAAACACATACACATATACTTTTATAAGTCATTTTATCATCATCAAACTTTTAAATATGTTCATGGTGTAAAATATGACTTTAGGGTTAACTTATTCCTTTATGAGTACTTGACCCATTCGTACTCTTTCTACCATAAATCTTAAAATACAGCGTCAAATGATTAAATTCCAATTTCATGTGAAACTAGACTCATAGGGCTCTAATATATTCAAAAATAAACCAACTATTCCATATACACAATTTATTCTAGATTTTCAAACTCTAATTAATTTCACAGCACTTCGTTATCGAGCGAGTCTCCAAACAAATAACAATAACTCTAGATTGAGACATTATCAAGAACTAATTATTTTTAAAAAAAATAACTAGACATATCAATATAAAACATATCGAAGAATTAGATCGAAATAATGAACACCCAAAGAATACCATATTTTTAAAGTTTGCACACTAATTTGCCAAGCATCGGGTCACCTAGAATAACATGTGTTCAAACCATCATAACCCGAAATATACATCATTAAATACCAAACCCTTTTACAGAGAGCTAGATAAGACACAAATCAACAAATTTCATTCTTAAAAATTATTTCAGATCTGACCCTAAAGTCTCGAAATCAAGAGTGCAAAACAGAGCTGGAGATGAACTTACCTAGCTTTCGACTTGCCTTAGAAAAACTATGGTTTTTCCCTTCTTTTGCCCTTTTTCTTTTCTCTCCTTTTTCTTTTCTCTCTCTCTCTGGTTCACTCCCGTTTTCCCAGCTAAGGATTGCAAAATGAAGATGAAGAGATGACTTGAGATATATATATATATATCTTGGCAAAGTTTGTTTTGGTCCCTCGAGGTGTGGCTTGTTTTTATTCTAGTTCTCCAACTTATATTACTTCGATTGAGCCCCTATTTCTTCCTATTATTCAAAATACTTATTATCCAATACCCCACTAAAATGTCATATGCAGGTATAATTATATGCGTGTAATTCATAAGTGTGCGTGTATGCATAAACAATGTATGTTTTTGGGACGGGGTTATTACATTGATAGAAATTATTTTTCCATATATATATATATATATATATATATATGATAGTATGATTAAATTGATTTGTTAGTCACCAAAGTTGCCAAATTAATTTTGAATGTGTGGTCATATAATTTATGTATTTCTATGAAATGCTATTGAGAATAGAAATTTATTAGTTGATAGAAATATATATATATATATATATATATATATATATATATATATATATATATATGAAAGTATGATCAAATTGATTTGTTAAGTTACCAAAGTGGCCAAATTAATTTTGAATGTGTGGTCATATAATTTATGTATTTTATAAAATGCTATTAAAATTAGAAATTTATTAGTTGATAGAAATTAAGGACTTTACCCAAAGGTAAATCAATGTTCTATAACTAATACATATAAAGGAAGAAATTGATATACTCTTGTTACATATATATAGTTATCCAAAGATGCTATATGTATTTAAAAAATATTTATTTAATTTCTTATAAATTCTAAATGGCATTTTAATGATAGTGATGATATGTATTGTTGTGTTTACCCAAAGGAAACCCGCAATATATTTATTGTATGTGCTTTCTATCCGAATCTATTAATTAATGAGTATTTATATGTTTGTAGCTATTAGCCTTCATTCTTAAGTATTTTTCGTTACCTTGTTTATTGGTGTGAATTTCTCCGAATAGAGCGAACAAGTCACTTTCCATTTAGGTGCTTTGGATCTTAACTTGGCGCTCGTTAGAGAATAAGCCTGCCGACCTTAATGCTACTAGTATAGAGGCTAAAAAAGCACACCATAAGATGTGGGTAAGGTCTAACAGATTATGTTTGAATTTTATGCGAATGTCGATTGCCAACAACGTTAAGTCTACTCTTTCTAGCATCGAAAATTAGAATG